AGCGCACACAGCCACGGAGCCGGAGCTCCAGACTGCGCGGCCCTTTACCAAGCCCAAGAGCCCGACGACCTGGAAACCGGGCCTCAGAGGCGCAGGACTAGATCCCGTGGCCGTAAGAGGGTCTGCCGTTCAGCTCAGGGTAGATCCAGTGGCCGCAAGAGGGTCTGCCGCTCAGCTCAGGCACTCAGGAAACCAGAAACAACTGTCCAATGCAGAAGCGCACACAGCAGTGTGCCCTGGGGAGGGGCGAGGGAGGCCACAGGGCTCGTGGCCTGTCTGCTTAGCCAGTTTCTCTGAGAGCAGGAGGGACACGGGACGGGAAGATGCGAGGGAGGGAGAACACTTCCCAGAACAGAGTTGGTGGGACAGCACCCAAAACTCTGGAAGAGAAGACTTCAAAAAAAAAAAAAAAAAGTTTTTAAAAAGATTTTATGGGGCGCCTGGGTGGCTCAGTGGGTTAAAGCCTCTGCCTTCAGCTCGGGTCATGATTCCAGGGTTCTGGGATCGAGCCCTGCATCAGGCTCTCTGCTCAGCGGGAAGCCTGCTTCCTTCTCTCTCTCTGCCTGCCTCCTCTCTGCCTACTTGTGATCTCTGTCAAATAAATTAAAAAAAAAAAAAAGATTTTATGTATTTGACAAAGAGACAACCAGAGGGGGAACACAAGCAGGGGGAGAGGGAGAGGGAGACACAGGCTTCCCGCCGAGCAGAGAGCCCAATTGTGGGGCTCGATCCCAGAACCCCGGGATCCTGACCCCAGCCGAAGGCAGACAGTTAACGATTGAGCCACCCACGCACCCTGGAAGACTTCAAAATTTGGGGGAAAAAATGCCCAACAGGTTGGTTACAAAATGGCAGTGGACTTTGGAGCTGGACACTTACAAAGCCTTCACAGTTCTTAGGAAACGGCTGGGGCCTAGAGTTTTCTCGGCAGTCCAGTCCCTGGAGCAGGAGACAGGCAGGGGTCCAGAACGAGCCTCCCCTAGGCGCTCGCTCTCAGGGTGTCGGGGTGGCAGGCAGGGCTGCGTGGGGCCCCGCCAGGCAAAGGTGGGTGCTCGGGACATGGCCCACCCCAGCGACAGGACAGGACGAGGCACATGTTTCGTCAGCAGAGCAAGCAGAGATGGCAGCAGAACACAAAGCCACCAGAGGCACGGTGACTGGGGTGGGGACTTGGAGTGCAGGGCATGTGGGCGGGAGCTGGGCGGTCTGGGCACCAAGTCCGGGTGCTGAGCCTTGGCTCTGGGGGGTCTGTGACACCACCACCGCCGGCAAGCATTCGGCATCCACACAAAACATGCCAGGTGTACTAACACACGTCAACGTACAAGTCTCCCGACCGAGCGCTCAGAAACTGGGAGTACGCCGTGGGGGGGACATCGCGGGCCTGACGTCCTCTAGTTCCTAGTAGATTCTCCTGAGAAACAGCAAATTCAGGGGTCAAGGAAATGGAGGTTCGGAAAATGACAGGAAGTAATGACTCGGCCACCGAGCTGGGGCCCATGACGGGGGCCGGTGGGGGCACCACTGTTTTTCTTAATTTGTCATTAATCTTACTTAGTGTTGTTTAGACAGAAACCCCGACAGTACAAAGGGTACGCGGTGCAGAGTCCACTCTGCTCTGTGCCTTGCCCCCCAGGACGCCGCTTGCACTCCCCGCCCTCACGCGCACACGGCCACGTGCCGGCGGACACGAGAGTGCTGTGACGCGACGGCGCCGGGGCGGGCGGCAGCACAGGGCGGGCAACTGCCTGGAACCGGAGGGGGTTGGGTTGAAGGTGCGGGCGACTCCGAAGCTGAGACATGCTTTGTAGGTTTGGAGACCGTGTCCGCACATCAGCACCGAGGGCCCGCCCGGTCGGCCACGCAGGGCTCCCCGCCACGGCTGCCAGGACGCCCCAAGCTGCGACCTCTGTCGGCCCGGCGCCCACATCGGCACCAGGCCTGGCTCTTCTGTTCCCGCGGGAGGAGCGGGAGGCAGGGGAGGCGGGCGGCGCACCTCCTTCTCTCTCTCCCCTGTGGGCAGCAGGGCGAGCGACTGGGGATGTTGGCCACAGGCCTGCGGGCAGCAGCCTTCCCATCCCCGTGGCTCCTCTCTCACCTCCACTGCCCCCCGGCTGTCCCCGGGCCCGGCTTTCCTGCAGCCCCGCACCTCTGGGCCCACCATCGCGGGCCCCTCGCCCTGGGCCTGGAGACGGGATAGGAGGCTTCCCTTCCACTCACTGCCTCCTGCAGGCCCGTCTCCCCACTCTGTGAACCCCGGCTTCTCGGAAGCACACACCTTCTGTCTAGGCCCCGGTCATCCCAGCCCTCCCACCTCCGTCCGCCCCTCCCTCTCCACCCAGACCCTTCCCGACACGCACAACTCCTCACCTGACTGCCCGGCTCCTGCTCACCTGGGCGGCACCCCCCCACCCCCCGGCTAGGACGCCTCTCTCCACGATGCTGCCCAAACCTCTGCGAGCTCTGAACCGGTACGCCTCAAAGTGACCCCTGGAGCCCACCCTGCCTCCTTTCTGGAAATCCCAGTGGGTGGGTGCTTGCCGCACCCATCTCCACCGCCGTCTGGCATTCCTCAAGCTCGCGCGGAGCAGACCCACCCTGACGCTGGCCCGTGCTCGTCCACCTCGGAGCCCTACCCGCGCCTCGCGGGCACACTGGTCCGCATGTGAACTTTCAGAAGGCCACGTGTCACTTGAGAAATGAACACATAACTTAATTCGCGGTTAGACTTTTTTCCAGTGAGAATTAGAAGAAAACGATCTCGTGCTTCCTCCTTATATTTATGGCCTCGTTTCTACTAACCCTTAAATCTCTGAGCTCCAGCACTTATTTCGGTGTCAAGGAGGGAAACCCAACTGTGGTTTTCTCGAGGTGGTGACTCCGCTCCTGCCCGACAACGCGGCCCTCATGCCGCTGTGCTCCCGTGCCTGCATTACTTACGGACTGCTCGGGGGCAGGAGGCCTCTGTGTGCCCGGAGCGTGTCCTCTCCTGACACGATGCCAGGATGGGTTTTCTCCTGCGACTCTGGGGTCCCCTGGTCTGTGTTCACAGGTAAGGCCGTGTCGCATGCTCAGACGATGCACAGACAAATGTGAGAGCAGCCTCTGGCCCCTTCTTCAGGCTTTCTCTCTGCTCCCACGTCATTTAAACACGCTTTTCCATTTCCCTGTTTGCCACTAGAAATTTCGTCATTGTTCTGTGGCTACTGAAAACATGCCTTTCCGTTGTATCTTGGCTTTCCTGCTAGTTTTGTGTTCTGATAAAAGCTTGTTCTTTTTTTTGGTCACCGATTTTTCTCTGGTTCTCTCAGATTTTCTGGGCTCACCGCCTCTCCAGTTTTGTGGCTCTTGCCCCCCACCCCCGCCTCCCGAACACCCTTTGTTGGGCCGCATTGGCCTTTCACTGCAACGACACCCTCGCCAACCCTGATTCGTGAGCGGACAGGACAGCTCCACTCCTGAGAGGGCGGCCCCGTCTACCCACTTCCGTGTTTCTCTGTCCACCGTCCTGGACGGGGACTTCGAGTTGCTTAACAGGAGAATGTGTCGTTTGCATACCGCTAGTTTTATTAATGTAATTTTAAGGCCAATTAAACTAATTTTATTCAGAGTTAAGTCTACATTAAATTACAAGATTAACAATTTCTAGAGACAATGAACGTAAAATTTAAGAAGTAGAAATCTATCTGGTCTCTTACAGACCATGTAGTATAGAACAGACAAATGAAAATTTACAAATATAGAAATAATGATACTTCAAGAGTGAGGATTTTCACATGGAAACCCATAAGATGTCGTATTTTAAACACGCATGTTTCAAAAAGGGAGAAATTTTTAATTATTTAGCACAAAATTAAATTATATAAACTTGGTATATCCCAGAAAATATTGCTTTAAACACTTATACCATGATCAAAATTCCTTTGGTAGCTTTTAATCAAAATGAAACATGCTATTATGTAAAATATAAAGTACTTTTAAATGTTACCAGAAAAGTATCTTTGTTACAGTTCCGGCACTAACATCGTTGTCCCCTGCTCAGCCTCACCTATATACACACAACGTGAAACCAGGTGCCAACAAAATCCTTTTAATCTTTTGTCAAAATAATCTCTGCTTCCAATAGCAAGACTTGAAGTCTCCTAGAAAACTTTTTACAGTGGCCCCAGCACAGAGTGCAACGGCTGTCCCCGTGCAGGGCTGTGAAACCAAACTTTATTCGAGCAATTAAATCAAACAGCAGCTCCCCCGTCGCAAAAACAGGGGCTGCTCAACGCAATCTGTACACACACAAACAACGTCCCCCAAGCCCCTGAACAGAAAATTCACAACAACTCAGTGGAAGAAGAACAAAGACGTGCGCGGGCTCCCGTGGCAGGCACGCCCGGCCCAGTGCTGTCCTGGCACACGAGAGAGGTCTCACGGAGAAACCTCGCTCTAGTCAGTCATTAGAGCGAAAACATATGGAAAATACAGGAAACAAACAGATGCCAGTTTTGGGTTGCATAATCCATGAGCCAGTGTCTGACACCGACCGCTTCCTCCTAATGCTCGCCCACGCAGGGCTCTCGTTTCTAACTAGGCGTCCTGTCAACCGCGAGAGCCTGCCTTCAGGAGTCCGCCTGAGCCCCCCCGCAGCTCGCAAATGCAGCCCAGAGGGTCTCTGCGCTGTGCATTCGTGATCACACACACGCACACACACACACAGGCCAAGCCAAACCTTCAGCTTCCTGCCACAAGAGCAACATCTCACAAAGGAAACTCTTTTAACCAACATCTTCTCGTCCAATCGCAAAATCAATCTGCATCCGAGCAACAGAAACGATTTGAACACCGAGAGAATAAGAGGAGAACTGGAGGGAAAGTTACATATGTCGTTTGCAAACCCATGAACTTTGTAAAGGGCGACCCAAGAATCATCTCTTTTCCTTCTAATCCCAGAGTCTCCGTGCTGGCTCCATGTCAGAAGTCCTGGAAACAGCACGGCAGTGCGTCACTGCGTCACTGCTCTGAAGGTACATTCTAGTGTCTTGCTGAGAGAAAGACACGTCAGGCCACATAGTGGTACTGATTCGGATTGTCCTTGTCTCTCTCCATATAGTCTCTGTCTATAAGAGATTCAATTCTCTTTTTCAAATCTCCAGGCTGAAAAAGAAAAACAAAACCCCTCCATTATAGCAGCATTCAATTTACAAACAAAGGGGACCAGAACACGCAGGAAGCACATGGTTACAAGCGAGTGCATGATTGTAGGAGATGTACGTATCCGTATGTCAACGGCGATTGTAAGCCAACTACAAAATGAACCCGGTGGAAGTCCCTGCGCTTCAAAGACAATGCTAACATTCTCCCTCGATCAAAGTGCTCCCCTGTGAATGGTCAGAGCAGGCCGTGAGGGGTCAAGGGAGACTGCGTTCTCGGCCAGCGCTCACTGACTCCCAAGCACGGCAGCCCCACTCTGGGGGCCACACGTTGCATTTGTTTGACGGGGAAATCCGACGTCGTCTCAGGGCACCTTCATCCTTCGTGAGGATGTGTCTCCCTAAGTCCCGTGCTGTGTGAGCGCGTCCTGGCCATCTATGCTCTGGGGGGGTGGGGGTGCCTCAGACTGCGAGTGCTCCTGTGCTGAAAGCAGACGACGGGCTTTGTGGCGAGGCTGCCTGGAAAGGGCACCCCCGGCTCTGCTGTGGCAGGAAGCACACCTGTGGCACATATGCACCAGCTTCCCCTGTGCAAGGGCACACGGTCCCTATCCAAGGCCTGACCACCTGTTCAGCAACAGATCGTACGTTCACAAGACAAGGGGCCGCTGCACACCTCGCCCCCCGTTCAGTCCTTTAACTGCGGGTCTCTCATCTGCAAAGGGGAACTGAAGCCCCACACTGCCGGAGGCAGGAAAGGACGGCGCCCGCAGCAGGGTCTCGTGACCGTGGAGAATGTGCCGTCTCCGGTGTGCACAGCAGCCCTGTGCCTGCCTGGGGAGACCCCTGCGGCCGCGTCGGCGTCTGCTCACTGAGCCGTCTAACTGGGCCCCTCGGAGAGGACAGAGTCGGCTGCTCCTGTACCAAACCAGATGGCACGGGATCAGGGAGCCTCCGCCCCCAGAGGAACACGGGGCCGGCCAGGCGCAGGCACTGGAAAGCCAGGTCTCAGGAGAATCCCGTATCTCTCCGGGTGGAGGCTCACGTTTTCAAGTTTTCCCTAATGCTTCCCTACCCGCTGGGACCCCACATACGCCCTGGACAGCTCTCAGTCCTGGACACGTGCACAGACTGAATGGTTCAGGGTCGACTTTCTTACGCACAGAAAGAAGGAGATATTATCAAAACAGAAAACGCTCTGGTGCTCGTCACTGCTGAGTGAATGAGCGTCTGTGGCATCTCCCTGGGCATAATCTGAAGAGCCACACCACTGAGAGACACTGTGGGGAGCTGCACCGCAGGCCCCCCTCCCCAGCAAGTGCGACATCCCTGCAGGGCGAGGGTTAGCGACCGCTCGTTCCTGCGACGGTGACGGACAGCATTTGGGATAAGGACTCTGCTGTCCTCACCGGCCGGTTTTTCGACACTTGGTGGACGCACAGGTGGGTTTGTGCAGAAACAATCCCCCGTGATGTGGACAAATGAGTCTATGGTGTTAAGAACGGAGCACGTCTTCCCGATGTTCAGCGTGACACGACACTTTTCATTAAGATAATATCCACTTACCTTTACTGGAAATTTCAGCTGATTGTACAGTTCAGAAACTAGAAGGTTATGACCAAGAGTCTTCCTCATCTTCATTATCCTGACGATAGCCGCATCGATCTGATACTGTCTGTCCTGGAACACGCGCTCCGTGGTGCTGACCTGCTCCTCTACCTGCACACGCGGACACATGACGGGTTACTTCAGAGTGTGGAGTTTGAGGAGAAACTTCCGATGCAAAGAAAGGCCAACCTTTGGGCAAATCCTGTTCTGGTACGCTAGCAAAACCTAGCTTCCCAAGGACAAGACGACGTCAGTACCAGACCTTCAAAAATAAAGTTACATTTCCCTCACAAAAAAGCTACAAAACACTGTATAAATCCTACATATTCTGGATTAGATCCAGTAGCACAGTAAAAACAGCACAACAGCTATCAGAGATCGCTCCAGAAATGTCAGCTTTGCTCATCATCCGGAAACCCACTACTGAAACTGAACATCTTCTTGATCTAAAACACACGTTAACATATAAGGAACAATTAAAAAAATAATAAAATAAAAACCTGGACAGGATAAAAAGTTGGGCGATGGACACTGGGGAGGGCGTGTGCTACGGTGAGTGCTATGAAGGGTGTTTAAGCCTGACGATTCACAGACCTGTACCCCTGGGGCCAATAATACATTATAAGTTAATTAAAAATAAAACAGAAAAAGTTATTTCAGAGGCTCTAGCTATGCACTAAGAGAATTTACTGAAGAGGAGCAGACACATGGTAATTCTTTGTAGATGAGCTATAAACCCAAAAACCCAAGAAAATCAACTGAAGAACGACTGAAGACCATGGGAATTCTGTAAAGGGGCTGGAAACAAGATAAAGACGCAAAGACGAAGGGTGTTCATGCGCACGTGCGGGCAGAATGTACACCAGTGTGAGGGCCGGCGCTGTACAGGCCCTGCCGGCCTGCAGTCCTCAGTGCCTCCCCCCGTCCTTCATGGGTGTGACCTGCCTCTCCAGGCCTCACCCAGCTCCGCTCTGCCTTTGGCAGGAAAGCCTTCCCTGACCCTCGGGACTAGACCGGCTTTCCTGGACTTCTCGGTCATGACTCTGACCTCAAGTCTAACAAGCTCACTGGTACGTAATCATCTAGCACCTGTTGGCTCAAAGTTCCCCGAGACAGACACTTGGTAAGAACGTGTTATTGTTAACAGATGAGTTCTCCGTGCTTCACAGAGGACGTGGCCCAGAGAAGGCGCTTGGTATTTGTAGAAAAATCCCATGAAGAGAAGAGATTTATATCCATATATATACAAACACAGATATAAATCAGACTTAATATGATGAAAATGAAAACTGGAAATTAATGTAATGCACTGATTAAAAAATGTATGTTCTTATTCAGAGGGTAAAATTACTCTCAAGCTCACTGGGAGAGTAAGTTTAGAGGAACAGGCACATTCATTAAAAGAATTGAGTGCTGGTCATAAAACAGATCAGTCAACGTCGTAGAACACAATTGAGAAACTGACCCATAATATGTAAACTTAATAAATAAAGAGAACAATTCAAATAAGTTGTCAAAGAATTGTATTTTCAATCCATAGTTTTAGAACAGGAAAAGTAGTTAGATTGCTTTTTGATATTAAAATAATTTCTACATCGCTCAAAGAAAAACTTAAATGTAAAAACTACCAGAAAAATACAAGTTATTATTTTTTAAATGTTGGGGTAAAGGTAGGTCTTTTTTCCTAGGCATGACCCCCCAGGTCAGAAACCACGAAGGCAAAGACTATACTTAAGAACTTAAAAACTACGATGTGGGGGGAAAAGAATCTCAGAAGACAAAACTGTCACAAATGCTAAAGGGTCAGTCTCTTTAATATACAAAGAACATTTACTAGTGAGAACAAATGCGCCGGCAAGTGTGCCAGTGACCTGAACAAGCGATTCCGTAGACAAAACACCAACGGCTCACCAGGAAACGGCCACACCGACAAAGTGCTGACAGGTCTCAGCCAGGAGGCTTTGCAAACACCGCACTGATTCACACAGCCTGTGGTCGTATTAGGTCTACTTTAAAGGATGAAGACTTGAGGATCAGAAAGGCTACAGAATTTGCATAAGCTACTGAGTGGCATAAGATGATCAAGTTCAAGCTAAGAGGGCAGGCACAACAGGGTGGGCAAAGGCAGGTGGAGGGAGGGCCAGCCCTCCTGCGAAGCTGGACACTGATCTGGTAAAAGTACTCCAGACTTCCATTTGGCAAAGGCTGGTCACACTAACAAAAGTACACATTCTTTGACCCTGTAATTCAACAGGAACAATTTTATTTTATTATTTTATTTTCTTAGATTTTAAAAATTTACTTATTTGACAGAGAGAGAAAGTGAGAGAGGGAGCACAAGCAGGGGGAGTGGAGGAGGGGGAAGCAGGCTCCCCGCTGAGCAGAGAGCCCGATGTGGGGCTCGATCCCAGGACCCTGAGATCATGGCCCGAGCTGAAGGCAGAGGCTTAACTGACTGAGCCACCCAGGTGCTCCCCAGGGCAATGATTTTACACTGAAGAAACAAACAGGCACAGAGGAATCTCTGTGCCAGGATGTTTCATGGAACGTTATTTCCAGTAGAGACGGAAGGAACTTAAATGCCTTTCAACACGGCTTTGTCAAGCTCCCACAGATTCACACAACCAACGACTCTGCTTCCATGAAAAACCAAGTCCTGACATGGAAAGAAGCCCATAATAAAGAGTAAAAACAGGTTACAAAATGCTATATACAAATGGCATATACAGAGTAATCCCATCAGAAAAAAGATTATCTATTTACATCACAGGAGAAAGCTGCACAAGTGCAAACAGAAGTGGCAGGAGAGGTTATCCCAAGGGGAGAAAGAGGACAGTTCCACTCTGAAATCTGCACTCTAAAATGGTACGCCTTTTAATCTATCAGAAATTCCTAATGTTAAAAAAGATGGATCAAAGGACATATGCATTTAAATCTTTAACAAGTATGTCAAATTGCCCTCTAAAAGCATCTTTCAAGACAAAAACATGAAGAGAATGCCTGTTTTCTCACATACTTGCCAACTCTGGATATTATCAAACTTTTAAACATTTCCTACATTGACAGATGAAAAGTGGAATATTACTTTAATTCCAATGAAAAACAATTACTGATGAGAATGAGTATCTTTTATATAGTTTACTGGCCTCTTGCGTTTCTTTCTGTGGGATCTCAACTTACTTCCAACTGGGCCCCCCCGGACGCCCGCAGGCAGGTGAAGCAGCCAGTGTCCCCGCCTGGGAAGCCCCCTGAGACCAACTGAAGCTGTCCTGACAGTCTGAGGCGACCTTGTGCCTTCACAAGGCCACTCCACTCACACACGCCCGGGGGCCACTGGACACCCCGTTCTGTACGTAGGAAGCAGGGGTGCCGCTGCCTTCCTGGCCTGCATGCGCGACAACAGCCCGGGGGCGTGAGGGCAGCCGCGTCAGGAAGGGCCTGAGGGCAGCGGCGCAGACCGTGCTCTGGACACGAGACAGCTGGTGTCCTGTCAACGCTCCAGACGCTGCACCTGCACAGACCGCAGCCGCCATGTCAGTGGGCCTGCGACACCACGACCCTCGGCACTTCCTCCCCAGGCCCTGGCTGAGGCTGAGGCTGAGGGGCGCTGGGCGCAAATAAAAAGGCAAGTGATGGGGTTTTGGACACGAGCTCTCGATGCTGACAGAATCCGGCCGGGGAAGATCTGTCACCGCACTCTCCTGGGGAGGGAAGATGACCTGCACGCGCTTGTCTCCCGTTCAGCCCGACCACGAATACCAAGTGAGCCGGCGCTAGAGAGGGCGCACGAGAAGGACCGCGAGCACCGGGCCCTCGCGAGGAAGCGCGTACGTACGGTTTCCTTCATCTGGATCTGGTTGATCTTGATCCGGAACAACTTGTGCTTGAACTCCCCGTTGAACGTGAACGTGTCCCCATCTTCCACCTCCTTGCCTTTGGGGCTCTTAATCAGAACTCGTGCTTTCCCACAGGCCAGGGACTGTAACGTCCTTCGCAGCTCGCTGTCCTCTGCGTGGGGAGAAAACCAGGCAGCGGCTGCCGTCAAAGGGAAGGAGGCAGCAGGAACAGAGGGAGCCGTGCCCTCAGTGTGGCCAGCAGAGCCCGAGCCCACATCCTCTCTTCCACGGACACAGGTTTTCACAACGAGGACATGCAGAAACCACGCGTTCATGCAGACAGTAGGACTCTTACCTATCCCCGTGGCCATTTTGATTTCTTCAAAGCTGAAGGCATCCCCTTCGTTGAACATGAGAAGCACCAGCGTCTGGAAGAGGGACACTTGGAACTCCTTCTTTCCCTGAAAGAACATGGGCACGGCGTGTGGGGAGCGGTCCGCACAATCTATGGAAAAGCTGAAAGGGTATCTTTTTTCTCTCAAACTGTATGGGGCGTGGGGCTAGGGAACTACTAACCAGCCACCAAACAGGCAGCAGCAACGGACTATACAAAAATAAAGAGACACTGGGCCTTGGACCTCACAGCATCTCCCGCTTCTATTCACCAAGTCCCCACGGCAGAGGCCTGCACGTGCACGCACGCGCTGAGCAGGCAGGGAGCACGCACGCACGCACGCTGTAGCACGCACACAGGGAGCGCCATGCGGAGGAGAGCTGCAGGGGTGTGGGGAAGGGTCAGCTGTGCAGAGGCAGGTCAGGGTATGTGTGATTTACACGTGTCGTGTATGTATGTTTGCCTCATCTACAGGGTACCATGCATTAGTACGTTGTAACAGCAGCAAAGCAGAACTTTTGTCAAGGTTTTGCTTGGCGTATACCATCAAATCTTATTTACAGAACTGAAGTCACCCAGTAACATGAAGGCACCGTTTTGTGACCGGTATGCGCTTTCCTCTCCTATCACGGTCCCTCTAATACTAGCACTGAAACAAACAGGCTTATTTCCTGCTCTGTGCAAACGTCCTGTTAAGAGGAATTTCCAGCACCCGCACTACTGTGACAAGGCCTGTGACGTCAGAGGCTGGAGAGGCTATGCCAACGGCCCTCCCAAACGCTCCCACGCTCCCACTAGTGAGAGGCGCTGCTCCTTGAAGTTTTAGCCTTGATCAAGTCTGCACTTAAAATGTGGTATTTTACTGCATTTTAATACGTAACCCTTCGACTCGCAGAGAAGTAGAACATATTTTCGTTGAACTCGATCTTCTTAGCCTTGCTTTCACGAGCCACCTCTATCCTTTGCTCTTTGGAAAGCACGGACGCTTCAGGGACTTGCGTGTCATCTTCGTGGAGGCCGTGCTCGTCTTCTGTGCTGTTCCAGTTCCGGTCCGTGTGCTGCCCAAGCCAGCCTCCCTTTGCTCCTTTTTCAGTTAGGTAAACGCTTTTCTATTTTTATTGATTTCTTATTGACGTTTATTGATTAGAGAATCAACCCTTCAAGTATTTCATTCTATCGACCCAGAAAAGCCAGTGCTGTTATACTGAACGATCTTTTGTTTGTTACTGAAGCTCAACCACAATTTAAAAAATGCTAGTAACTTTATAAAAAATAAGTGAACCAGACAAAGAACTTACTTCCTTAAACTCTGCTTTGAGAACAGCATGTCCCAGTGTCGTCTGCCACTGAAGTTTCCGACCACTGTGCTTTCCGAGATAAAACGTCTTAAATACTTCCTGAAGTTTAACCATCTGCCAAGTGCAGGAAAACAGCACATGTAATCGTCATCTAAGACCACGTACTGTGCAACTCACAGAGTTTTTGTAGGTTTTCTCAGCGCAATAGAAAGATCAGCTCTGTATTCTGACCGCCGTGGTTCCGGACTAACCTATGGCCCTTGGAGCTGTGCGCCATCGGCACACCGGGGTCTCCTCCCGCCGGCGATGCTGCCGGAAGTGGCACCTGATGGACACACAGGCCACGCTCGGCAGTGCCCACACTGTACACTGGGCTCCCCGGGCCAGTGGCAGAGACCGTCAGCACCACCGGGAACAGCCCCAGAGACGCTGGCCTCAGGCCCAGCGGCTGCACCAGCTCCTGGTGCTCCGCCCACACGCCCCGGCAGGGCGGGGCCGTGAGATGCCGGGGGGCCTGCTTGCGTATTCTGTCCTTACTTTCTGGGATTTCCCCGCACCTTCCAGACATTCTCCCAGTTCTTTATTGCTGTGACCTTGCTTCCAAGTTCCTGAGCCCCTCCTCCTTGTCCAGGTGTCCGTGCGGTCTACACCCGGCACCCCACTCTTCCTAACAGACAAGCTCTCTTACGTCCCCGACAGCATTTCCACATGTGCGTTCTGGGGTGCCAGACGCCCCCCGCCCTCTCTGTGCTCGGGTCCCTGGACGTCCCCCACTCTGCCCAGGACGGCCGAGTGCTGCTTCGGGCTTCAACTGGCGAGATGACCCTGACTGACAGCTCTGTGCACGGACGGCAGACGGCAGCCTCCCCTGCCCTCCACGACACTCGTCGCTTAGACCTCCGTGTCTGTCTCACGTCCGTCCTTCGGAGCCTTGCTCGGTTGGTCTCCCGCCCACCCCGGCCACCGTGGCACCTTCAGTTTCCGGCCCTCCGTGTCAGCCACTTGGCTCATTCCGTTGTCAGCGTCCTTGGCTGCTCCCAAGTTCTAAGGAGCAAGAGTGAAACCCTCCCGAGGCTAGCCTAGGTCCCCTCCGTCTGAACCGCTGACCGCGCCGGCCTCTCCTGGCCTCCTCCACTCGACTCGGTGCGCCACGCCATCCCCCCTCGGGCTTCCAGTGGGAACCCGCCACCACGCCCATCACCTGTGAGAACGCCTTCCTCACGGGTCTTCTCCTGCTGCTCTTGCCTCTGACAGCAGTCACAACGACTGCACAGGGAGCCCGGGGCAGGGCCGCACTGCCGCACGGCAGGCGTGAGGGAGTGAACCCGCCCTGCCTGCTCTCCTCCTGTGTGTTCCCTCCAGGTCACGACGCCCACCGGCCTTGTACCCGCGCGGCAAACCTGTCCTCACGCTTCGAAACTATCACCCACACCCGTTACCTGTCGTCAACATCAAATCCCAGACGTGACTGTCATTCTGTTTCTAAGTTTTCCAGCATGTATCTGAAAGGCAGCGACTCTGAGAACACACATCCGACGCCATACGACCCCCAGACAAAAAAGCCAGGACAGTGACACGCTTCTTAAAAACGTTTTCCCTGAGATTAACTCCTGACAGCAGCAAGAAGAGGGGGAGGACGGCGGCTAATTCTGGGTGATTACTGTGCGCCGGTTACAGCCCCAGGCTCCGAGCGGACCAAAGACCTCCCTGTGGGAGCTACGACCACAAAGGCCTCAGTGGAAAACATACGAGTGCATTTCCATGACCTTGGGCTGGCCAGAGCTCTTAGACAGGACACCAAAAAGTAACAACAGAGAAACAGATCAGACTCTATCAAAGTTCTAAAATTCTGTGCAAAAATCACTATTAAAAAAGGAAGAAGCTCACTCGATGGGAAGAGATCTGCGAGTCGCACACCTGGAAGAAGATGCAGTGTCCGAATAATACAGAACTCTGGCGATTTAGCAACAGGAAGGCAGGTGACACAGTGTCAAGACGGGCAAGGGACTCGCATAGACGGTCCTTCCCAGAGCGACAGTGACCAATGAGCACGTGAAGTGACACTGAACAGTGTCGTTACTCATTAGGGAGAAGCAGATCAAACCACAACGAGACGCTGCTTCTCTGCCGCTACAACAGCTAAATGACGAATGTGGACAAGGATGCGGCGATGCTGGAGGCCCGTGTGCCTCCGCCAGGAGTGGGAGCGGAGCGGCAGCCACTGCAGAAACTGGGGGATGACGGCCTTCACGTGAGCCAGCACTTCTGCTCCCAGGCGTGGACCGCAAATGAACTGAAAACGGGGACCCCGTATTTCCACACCCGTCACAACCACGACACCCGCAGCGGCCAAAAGCCAAAAGCAACTCAAGTATCCGTGGACAGACGGACAGATGGATGGACAATACGTGGTCTGTACGCACCCTGGAGTATCACTCAGCCCTAAAAAGGAAGGAGGCTTGATACAGGCTGCAGCATAGACGGGTCTTGAAAACAGGAAGCCAAGAGGAAGCAGCCCAACACGAAAGCCACAACGTGAGGTTCCGTTTACGTTAATACCAGAACAGGAGACCCAGAGACGGAGGGCTAGTGGGTGCCGAGGTCTGGGCTGGGGGAGGGTGGGGGGATGGGAGGGAGCACGACGGCTGCAGGCTCTGTCTGCAATGAACTAGAAGGTGTCCCCCAACTGTACAGCTTAAAGCCCTAAACTGTAGGTACACTTCACCTCCAATTGAGTTATTTACATTCATACTGTAGGCATATTTTCTAAAAAGGCAAAGTATGGCAAGCCTCAAACATCTCTTGCCAGGAAATGAAAAAGTACTAAAAAAACCACACAAGCACGTAGAAGGACAAAGGGCCTGTGAGAGGGCCAGCCAGACGCGCGCCAGCGTGAACGTCGAGGCAAGTAACCAGGGGTCCATTAGTTTGTACAGAGAAAGCCACTCCTCGTCAAGGTGCAAGTGGCTTCAGGCAGGAACTGCCCAGCAGGAGAGTCTGCGGGGAAAGAAGAGTATCATCTTCCCCCAGATTTTCAAAATTACAAAAGGAAACATACTAATCACAGTCGAGACACCAGCTAACACCGTAACCCAATGACAACGTGAACCCCACCAACAGAAGGGGGGGTGTCAATGGACAGCAGAGGCCTCCTGACGTAGCACCGAGCAAACCCGGGTGCGATTCTGGCTGGACAAGCATGGCCGGAATTGCATCACACGCCACACAGAGACAATTCACGAAAATGTGATCCTCAGGAAAGAAAGATGATGGTGCAGGGGTGACGGAGAAGGGAGGCCACAGCTAACTGGGCGGGGTCTGGACAAAACAGGACAGGGCTCCCCACGGGACAATCACTAGAGCAGTATCGGGGGTCTGACCCGGCAACGTGCCCGGGGAAGTGCCCACCGAGGTAGTAGGGGTAGGAGACCATCTCTGGCACGCGGCAGGAGCATGCCACCCTTCCACGTAGAGAGAAGGAGCGCTGGCGGCAGGGCTGGAGACACGGGAAGTTGCTTCTGGGGACACTTTGAACTATTCTTGCAAAGTCCGTCCAAATCTTCACTTACCTCAAAATAAGAAGCAAAAAATTCAGCAGCATCCCAAGAGGCACAGCCTGGTGGACCCACCCGGCCGGCCTGCTGCACACCGCGAGGGGGTGAGGGGGAAGCGAGGTTTGCTGCAGGAGGCTCCATTTGGGATATGACACACAGAGGCCCTGGAAAATGTGGGAACTGGGGAGGCAGGGGTTGCGTGGCGCCTACAAGCAGCTTTGGACACAGCCTCTGCACCTGCAGACATAGTCGCACCCCCCACAGGGCGGGGATGAGGAGGGGGAGGGGATGAGAGCCATCTGGGGTGCTGAGCCTGGGACGTCCGAGTGTGCCCAGGCCCAGGGATGCACAGGCTAGAGTCCGAGTGCCTGTGTGGGCTGAGAAGGGAGCTGAAGGGCTCTGGGAACGTCAGTGTCTAGAGCAGAGGCAGAGGAAAGGCAGAAGACAATGTGTAAACCGGTAGGACACCAGTACTTCAACAATAAATTAAAAACAATCTAAAAACTAAAACCACAAAGGCAACCAGTAGGGTGAGAAACAAGAAAATCCTGGAAGACATGGTCTTGGAAATAACACAAGCAGCCTTCAGAGGGACTGTTCCAACCTGGGCTCCCAGCTCCCGCAACTCCATGCCTTTTTGGGCCTTTCTAGAAGGTCCTCGTCCCTGCTCCTTTTACTTCCGGAACCACACCAGAAGCAGCCCTCTTCCATGTCACCTGGTATTAATAATTAACGGGGCCGACTTTAAGTTCCCGAGCTCAGGACCCTCCTTCCTACCTGCAAATCCCCAGCAGGCCCACAGCTGTGGCTAACCTACAGAGCCCTGAGCAGTGGTGCCCACGAGACCCGCCGTGTCGACCCTGGGACGGAAGGACAACCAGCGAGTACTACCTCCTAGCGCCTGTGCTGCTGCCTTCTCCCCGGTCAGCCAGGGGACAGAAGGAGCCACACAGGGACACAGGCAGTCCCTGAGCATCGCTGCTTTCCAGAGACTATAAGGACACTGGATCTTTGATGGTACAATTTAAAAATCCTCTCATTAAATATCTGGTGATAGACAACACGTCTGTGCCTGGCTGGCGTGCAGGATGTCTACTGCGCTTTGGTGGTGCTGATGTACGTACGAGCACAGGCAGACCCTCTCTCAGACACTCGCCTCTGGCGTCAAATGCACCTCCATGGGCGTGTACGTTGGCCAGTAGCCCATCGTAAGTATGTTCACGGTCAGATCTATGGAGCCTGGCTCGCTCTGGTTCTGCATGTACTGAAAACAAAACAAGATAAAGTAAGGATTGTAGAATATCATCAAAAACAACGAGTTCACGAAAAGGTAAACGGTGTAATTTTTGAAATGCAGCTCAACACGCGTTTGTACTGAGTCCTGAGGACACATTCCACGAAGCCACAGAACGCTTGTTCCAAAGTAACTTGAGACATTTTTCCTGCTTCTCTGGTGACGTTACCAACACGGAATGCTATTGCACTTGTTTAAGTCAATTTTTTGTTATGCATTTTTAGGGATTATTCTTCTTTCTCATTTTGAATTTAAGTAACTCAAACGCGTGAGACACGAGGTGTCGTTCTGAAGGCCGAGGGCCTGACACAACGTGGAGGGGGACCGCTTACGCACAGCTGTTCTACTTGAACGAAAACACAGCTTGCCTGCTTAAACTGGACCATGATGTCCTTGGAGAGCTCCATGTCCTTGAACATGCCTTCCAGCTTGCTGGTGAAAGCGGCGCCGCACTCTGGGGCACAAGCAGAGGGCGTGAGTGGCACCGGGCACAGGACACGGGTGCCACGGCGGACAGGCCTGGCCCCACACTTACCATGCTTTAGCTTGGACAACATCGATTTCTCAGCATCTACTGAGGCACTTTTCCCAACAAGAAGTCTTTTTGCCAAATCTTTTTTATAAAATGCTTCAAAGACATCTTTCCCTATTTGTAACCAAATGAGAACGACATAAGACAGACAGTTAACACGCAAACACTCCCTCCGACTGCGGGACGTCTAGGCGCTGGCTCTGCGGCTCTAACTCGGAAGCCTCCCGGGATACTGCCCCCAGAGAGCACGTGCACGGCCATCGACGGGCGGCCGTCCCTCTACCTCCTGTGCTAATGCGGAAGTGGAAATGTCTCGGGAAAGGCTTCGCCAGGAAAGACAGGGCCCCAGACAGAAGTCTGGACAGGGTAAGCTCCCCTCCATGCTGAGTGTTAACAGCCACAGCGTGGGGCGCGTCTCACCGTGGATGAACCTGAATATGATCATGACCTTGTCAAGAATCCTCTCCAGCTCCTCGTCCGTGGCTTCTTTGTTACCCGCTCTCAGTTTTGAATCAACATGCTTTGCTGTGAGATCAAGAGCTTAAATTATTTGAAGAACTGGTAACTTTCTAATCGTTAACTTCCATACACAAACAGCAGGTGGCAGCACTGGAACCTTTCCAAAATGACATTGTTAAGAGACAAAAGGCAGATAACCTGATTTTCTAAGATAAATACTCTCAAATCACGTGAGAATAAATACTTGAATCACATGCCTGGGCTCCACACCACCACCGCTGCAGAAACCGGAGTGACCTGCCTTTGAGACGCGGCATCCCTGAGGCCGCACGGACCCACCGCGGCCGGGGCTTGGCCAAGAGCTGAATATTTGTCTTTGGAGAAACCACAGTCCACAAAGTGGTATAAAGGCCAAACTGAACTGCCTTGTGCATTTCTTTTGTTGCCTTTTTTTTTTTAAAGATTTTCTTACGTAATCTCTCTGTTCAGTGTGGGGCTCGAGCCCACAACCCCCAGATGCAGAGTTGCACGGTCCACCGTCTGAGCCAGCCAGGGGCCCCTCTCGCTGCTGCTTCTATTAGTTTTTTCTTAACAATTTTTATTATCCAATACCCTGAACACACACAAAGGCAGAGAACTGCATGATGAACCCCACGTTCCCATCACATCCTCTCAACGGTAATCAGGAAGCCCAGTGCTGAATCACTGCATTTACTCTCTCTCTCTGCCCTCTGCCTAGAAACGTTCCCTGACGAGTCCACACACCCTGAAATACGTTTTGGTATTATGACAACGTAACTGAATAAACTGATCATTTAAAAACGGTTTCATCTTAAACCATGTTATCTTTTAAGACCTCATCCGATTTTATCCTACTTAGTCCTGATGTGAGGACAGAGAGGTAGGGACTGAGGGTACCTTCATGTAAACGTGCCCCACAGATCAGTCAGGTCACGCTCACGACCCGGAGACACTCAAGTCGAGCCAATCCTCCTCACCCAGTTTCTGGGCACAAATTACTTGCTGTAATCACGACAGAACCAGGGCTCGTTTTCGCCAAACACAGCCCTGGAGCTGCTAGTGCAGGACGTGCACGAGAGAACAGTTTTGTCCCTTTCTTCTGTGACGTCAAGCTTCATCTTTACAAAACTACTACCATGCTCACCCTCACAGAAACGCCATATGCTTAATACAAACGTAACGCGCACGTTTTTAAAGACGTGTGTCCCAATGCGGTGTAACACAAATGCTTCCCTCCCCTCCCCAAGAGGAGCTTAAACATTCTGGGGAAAAAACATTTGCTTGAGTTCTGCCCCATTTTCCCGTATTAAAAACCGTGTGGAAGGCTGTTCTCCTACCTATCAGCTCCGCGGGCTTGTTTGGCCTCTTGTTGATGAACGTTTCGAAGGACTCCTTCATCAGGTTGATGAACTTCTCGTTCCTCTGGAAGCACACCTCTATCACGTGGTCTACCCGGTCCTTAAAACCCAGCAGATCCTGTACCATATCTTTGTCTTTCTCAGGATTGATCACGATTGTTGTCCCAAAAGTCTACAAGAACACGTACACACACCAAGTCATCCACAGGTAGTGGTAACACACTTCTGCTCTCAATCACGATACTTTCATGTAAATTAATTACTGTTGGTGTTAATCACCAAACAATTTCAAGTTTCACAGATTCACCCCACATTCAAAAGACTAAGCAAATATACAATTAATGCTTCAGTGTTATAATTCTGCTTCTGGGAGAATTTATCAATTAGTATGCACAGTTTTTATTTACTTTTTTTTTTTTTTCAAGAGTTTATTTTTATTTGAGAGCGAGAGAGAGCGCGCATGAGGGGGGCAGGGGCAGAGGGAGAAGCAGACTCCTGCTGAGCAGGGAGCCCAATGCGGGACTCCATCCTGGGACTCCAGGATCACGACCTGAGCCGAAGGCAGCCGCTTAACCAACTGAGCCCCCCTGGCGCCCCAGTATCCACTGTTTTTAAAAAACCTTTTACATATGAATTCCTCAATCAGAAGTCGCCATTAACCCAACAGACCCACTTGGACTTCTTGACTGCAGTGTTCCTTGCCCCCCACTGCCAGCCAGCAAGAGCTCAGCTGTTAGCCTGTACCTCTAACTCAAATATACCCTATCCAACATGTAATGGCTGCCTGAGGCGTGCACACCCCAACAGCACAGATCGTGTGAGTCCAAGTCCTGCTTCATGTGTTTGCCAAGACAGAGCCGGCAGCCCCGAGTGCAGTGCCCGTGCCCAGCCCCAGGCCAGCAGACCGGGACAAACTGCCTGCCCTCCAAGGAATGGAGCCCGAGAGCGATCAGCAGGCTTGCTAGCACAGAGAGGTCCTCTGCCAGACAGAGCCCTGCCACCCGGAGGAAGGTGACCTTGCCACACCAACTGCTCTTCCTAGAGCATGGTCCCTTGCCTATAAAAGTCTGCTGGATCGCACAGCTCTCCGGGGCTGCTTTCTACCTGCTGGACGGTTCGCTGCCCAGTTCATGAATCACCAAATACAGCCAATGAGATCTTCAAAATGTATTCAGTCAACTTCTGTCCTTTAGTAGAAGGAACGTGTATGTTTCTGGAAACGTGGCCTTGGTACAACCTACACATGCACTTGGGTGTCACAGACGTAGTGGACAGACACCGTACGGCCATGGGACTTTTTGCTCTGGACCCTTCTGCTCCGACTGCATTTAAAAATAACACACAGACTGCCCAAGGTCAGCTTTCCTGTGACGGCCACACGCCGGTGTTTTGTCAGTGTGACCGCTCATCTGCAATGGACGCTCAGCAACGGACTTGCACCGCCTAGACTGACACTCGTCAAGGGGCACCTCCTGTGTTCAGTGCGCATTCCTGCTCCCTGGGGGCTGCTCACAGCCACACCCTCACTCTCCATCAGACTTCCTGTACCGCGAAGCCCCCATGCTGCTGTACACGTCTGGGGGCTGTGCGTGTGTGCCCGAGCGGTCCACGTGTTCACAGGTGTGCGATTTTGGGACTGGTCCACACGGCGGCATGCAGGCCTCCCATTACCCCTTCTATTTACTGAAGTTTTCCTTGTGACAATTACAGGTTTGCACGCAGCAGAGAGTGAAGGGACCCCTCACATGCTCGCTTACCCGCTCCCCCGGGTGCTAACATCTGGCCCACGAGAGAGCAGCACTGCAGCTGGGCTATGAGTGCTGGTACCCTGCACCCACCTTCTCCAGACTGCCCCAGGTCCACCTACGCCCCCAGCCGCGGGGGTGTAACCTATGCCCAGGGGCAGAGGCTGAGCACGCCGACACAAGTGCCCTCCTGCCACCGTCCCGTAGCCACATGCCAACCTGGCAAGAAACGCCAAAGTGTCGTGAGAACCGCAGTCCTGGGTGGCTAGCAAATGCAGCAGTATCCACAGCGAAGGGATACACCAAAACGCCTAAGAATTCTCATGGGCGAAGGCATGGGGTGTTTAACAAGCAGAGTCACAAAATTGGCGACCCTTGAAAATCATGGCTGGAACTGGACCTGGAGGTCAGGGAGTCACGAAAGGCTGACCTTTGTCACGCCTGGTTGTACGCGGTGCGTGCGCTGCTGCCGTCATCCTTAAAAACAAAGGTTTGCGCCAGCAATCTGGAAGGAAGTGTAGGACTTCTGTCTACCCACGCAGCTGCCCCACGAACACCATGGTGCCTGCAGACCGCCCAGCTCCTCTGCCAGGCGCCACACACCCTGGAGGTGGAATGCCCGCCCCAATGCGGCACAGCCACAGCCACAGCATAGCCACGGCCCCGCCGAGACGGCCCCACGCACCTTGATGTAGTCGCTCCAGTGCTGCAACAGGACCTGCTGGCCGCCCTTCACGCGGCTAAAGAGCTGGTACATCTGAGTGAGGTCGGGCACTCTGTTCTCGTCAAGCAGGTGGTCCAGCCCTGAGGCGGCACATCAGACAGAAGCACAGCCTGTCAGCACAACTGACGCGCGGCGCAGCACGCACCGTGAAGACACCAGCAAGCCGCTGCAGAAGGCAGGGGCTGCTGCTGCTCTCTGTGCACGCAGGCCGGTCTCCGGGCTCGGACCTGACCCTGTTGGGCAGGGCCGTTTCCGGAGCCCCCGGGCAGCTGTGTTCCTTAATCCCTCAGGTCTCGCCCACACCGCGGCCTGACCAGCGCGCCCCAATCGGCCCCATGTTATCCGTCACGTAGTTTATCGCTCAGAGAGTGGATCTGTCACGGGGGGGGGGGGGGCAGGTGTCACCATGTCTCATCTTTTAGCTGATTGTTCATTTTTCTTATAATTTCTAATTTATGTTTCTAATTCTGGGCCTTCCCATGATTAAGCTTTATGGTCTCCAACATCCTGAAGCAGATCCTGTAGCTCCAAGGACTTCCAAACGGTAACCAGCACTTGGACGCACTGCACAACGTGCTAGGAGACACGAGCCGTGCCCGCTCAGACGCCCAGGGCAGGAAGCACACTCTGAAGGGCAGGAGTGAGCCAGGAGCGCACACTGAGCCAATCCAACAGCCCACGGTGGCTGTGGAGTCATCGTTCCCCCGGGCTTATGGGCACCGTGATGGACGTGGTGTGAGAGAGCGCGGCCCGGTCAGCACTGCCACGTGCTCCCTCGTCCAGGAGACCAGGATGGAGACGCGCACTCTGGTGCAAGTCCCCAGCCACGTGGCATTATCTGCGCAGAGGGCGTGGGGAGGAAGTCCCCGCGACAACCCAAGGGCCTATTCGAGCAGCCTACACCCACGGTGCTCTGCACGGGCCCGCGACGGAGGACGAGTGCCACACGAGGCCCCAGCTGCCAGCCGTCTGCGGTCGGTGTCTCCGCAGCTTTGGCTAAGGGCATGCTCCGTGGGATTCCTACCACAGGCCGCTCACTACTTCTTGGAACTCATTTTCCCTGAGAGCCAACACGTTTGTTATTCTTAAAGAGATTTTTAGTGACTGTCGTATTACAATAAAAAACGTCCTTTCCCTTGTTACGTTGTTTGCTTTCTTAATATATTAAGGACTGTCATTCGGTCTGACAGGAGAGTTAAGAAAACCTACCTTTGTGCAGAATTGCTGTTAAATGCTCTCCTAACAGCTGCTTCTCCACACAAGCGATCAGCGGCTTCCTGCACGAGCAAACGCCAGTGTCAGAGGCGAAGTGAAGGGAGACCTGGGCCCGTGGTCATGAAGTGGGGTCTGTGCCCACAGACGTCCCGGGACTCCACCAGAGCCAGGCGGACTCCAAGACAGCCACTCCCTCCGGCCGAGAACAATGTCCCCGCCATCCCAGTGGACTCGGGAGTCTTTCTAAAAACTGTCTACCGACTAACACCAAGAGACAGGGGTTCAGGGAGGAGGAGACACCCACACAGACAAGTGCCCGGCGCCCCTCGGTTGGCAGTTTTCCAAAGGAGACTCTGCCCTTTGAGTGCAAGGCACCCTAGCTTCCCCGACCTCCACTGCACGGCCTGCCCCGCTCCAGGCCCCACTGCCCTCTGCATGGACAGGTTGTCCCTTCCCACAACCGCTTGTCAAAAACCCTACTTCTGGAAGCGCCGACATGAGGCTCACGCGGCATGAGTGCCACGCAGAACAGACTGTGAGCCTCTGAACTTGTGCTAACGGGGCTGCTGCCCTCACAGGGACATGCGAAACCACTCTCCCTGGGTCCGTCTCCCATAGCTGCTCTCGTCCTGGCTGTTTCCAAAGACCGGAACACGTGCTTTAGCCCCAGGGTTATCACTGGGGGCACGTTCCAGAGCCTTTGTTCATAAAGAGCTTCCTGACAGAGTACCGTGACCCTTGAGAGAGGAGGGCCAATGCTGGCTCCAGCCCCCAGCTCAGGCCTCCTGAGTAGCAGAGGGAGGGAGGAGGGGCCAGCCAGCACCTTCCCAGTCTGCCTCCAAAAGGGGGAGCAGGGCCATGGGCTCTGGGGGTGAGGTCAGAGGTCAGAGGCAGAGCAGGGAGGGCCAGCAGCGTAGCCGACCCATGCCCGGCCGCAGCGGGGGCCGTGCACCTGCAGACTAGGAATAGCGCTGCCGTGACGACCCGTAGACAAGTGTCGTGGGAACGTATGTTTGTGGCAGAACAAGGACGTCGGAAAGGCCTGTACCTCTGCGGAGCCCTTGGAGGACCTACCCGACCATCCTCCCTGGCAGCTGCCCACTTCCCGTGCCCGCCGCAGGGGCACGAAGCTTCCGTCCCCAAGGTCTCGCCGAGGCTGCGTACCGCTTGCCCTTTGTAACCACAAGGCCGTTCTGGTGGGTGTGAAGCGAACTGCGCTGTGGTTTCAGTGTGCACGTCCCCGATGACTGTGCTTAGCAACTCGTCCTGTGCTCACAGAACCCCTGCCTCCAGGCAGGACATGGCCTAGACTGTGGTTCTGCAGCGTGGGAAACCCCATCACAGTTTTGACCCCGCCAGTCCCCCTGATGCCTGCCCTAGCTCAAGTGCCGTGGTTGGTCCCGAGCTAAGAGAAGATACTACAGACTCCTTGTGACCAAAGGTTCAGTCCTGGGGAACTCATTGCCTTAGCACCCAGGTGCCCGAAGACTGACCTCATAATCCATGGTGACAACTTACTGATTTGGCGAGAATTCCTGCCAACCAACAGGAGAGCAGGTCCTTCCCACCCCGAGGGTCAGGAGTCCTGGGGGCACATAGAAGCCATCCCTGGGGCTGGGGCAGCCAAGTGACCTCGCCATGCTGTGGGTGACGAGGTGCGGCAGGAGGTAACGCCCTGCTGCTCTCAGGCACGCTCTCCCCGGCGACCGTGCACCACACTCAGACTGGGGGCAGGGGCCTTGGATGGGGCACTCTGAGCCCAGCCCTAAGGCTGCCGTGGCTGGCTTATTTATCCTCAGTCTCCCCTTCTTGCCTTGACAATGACTTTATTCTGTGATCTCTGAATCCTGCAGCAGGCAGCGCTCCTCCTACCCACCCACGCCTGGGCCTGGATCTGAGACACCCCGCAGGCCTTACTTGGAGAATTTACATACGCTCTTCTACGCAACGTACTTTTAAAATTGGCACGAGCAGCTTAAAACAGAGCCTACGTACAGAGTGCATCAGCACACACAAAGAACAACAGGAGCCCCGTACCCAGTGCCAGCCGTGCCAGTACCCGCCCCGCCCCTGCAGCTCCCTGACTTGACCTGCGCTCTCACCCACGCGTCCTTTCCTCTCCTACCCCGTGCCTCCCTGCTGCTGGCCTCCAGCCCCTGCGGCGCCCCGCCCTGCCCCCCCCGACTCCGTGTCCCTACAGCACCCGCGCAAGGCCGGCCCGGCTTCAGCAGGACTGCCCCTGTCCGCAGGTGTTGCGCTCCCCAGCCCCTCAAATGTCCGCAGAGACCCTTCCTCTCCTGACCCTCTAGTTCCTGTCTTTGCAAAGCACCGTAACTCTTCCTCTTTCTTTCATCCCGCCTGTTCCAGGCGAGTCACAAGTTCTGCACATTGTACCCGTCAGTCTCTTTTCCATCCCATTTCCGTCCTTACCTCTCCTCACTTGAATGAAGTATGAAGTTTATGTGCATAGTGAGAAACAGACATTCTCACAATTTTTCCCTTTTTACTTTTCCCCAACGACTTTCCAATTTTCAGATTTAGAGCAAACAAAATTAGATGAAAAGAGAAAATCATGGGACTTAGTAACATAAATAAAAACGCCAGCTACTGCAGAAGTCCAATAAAAGGTTTACAATCCAAACTGTCCGACATTCAATGATACCCCACTGACTTAATCAGATCCCGGTCTCTAAACTCGAAGGTGCCAAGCCCCTCAGCCCAAGGTGCTCCGTTTGGGCAAAATCTCATGACGCAGCACCTGTCGAAACTCACAAGCGTGGAATGGTCACAAGTAATACAAGCAGAACACGTGAACAACAAAATCACCCTCAGCCTACTGCACGCCAGCCCGGGGAGGGGCTCGCTGCAGTCCGGCCGCAGGAACCGAGAAGATGAGCAGTACTCACTGTGTGCTGTGGTCTAAATACGTGATCACTCGGTCTCCTTCTTCCTCTAAGCGCTTACTTACATGGTTAAGATACTCTGGAACCTTCCAAACACAACATTTAAGCATGTCAGTAACAAAGATTCTTTTTCCTTTTTTCTTAGGTAACAAAGATTCTTGGTATTACCCAAAAAGCTAAAACATGTGGTCCTCACAAAAGTTTTTTTTAAAAAAGCAAAATATATATTCAAACTAAATATGAACACAGAGGAGTGGGAGAAGTGGCAGCAGTCAAGCGGGAGGAGCACTGCGGTGGGGGGAGCACTGCGGGAAGAGTGCTGTGGGAGGGGTGGGTGCACAGAAGACACCTTCCTGGGACTTGGTTCTGGAGAGTAAACTGGATGTCTAGAACAAGGGATGGGACAGCACGGCACTGTTGTGCCCTGCTCACAGTGGAGCTTGGGGACAAGGCCACGGGTCCCCTCCCACCACCAAGGCCCCTAGGGCAGCCCCTGGATTGGCGGGTGCAGGCCGAGCGCATCTCTGGCCCACAGAGGACAGGGTCAGCAAAAAGCTAATCAAAAGACTGCGTGTTCGCTCGAGGACACCAAAGAGCCCGGCTGCAGACCTCACAACGCACTTCATGCTTTCAGGGGCAAAGGGCATTCCTGCCCTCACCGGAGGGCGCAGGAGAGGCCCCAGGACACGGACCTACTGGCAGGGCAGGGCTGGGTATGGGGCGTGAAACGTCCTCTCCAAACCAAGAAGAACCGATAGCCGGCCTGTGCTATGCAATGACAAGGGGCCTTGGGGGACAGTCCAGAGGAGCCTCCTTCAGTCCCTGCTCTCATACTTTTGAATCTGTTGCCAAGATTTTGGGTTCATATTATTATTTCATGTTTTTTCCTGGGGTTTTCCGGATAATTTTTTCAGTGTCTCACACAAAGGGAAGACTTGGGTATGATGTATCTTTCCTATTTCAGATTTAACTGTTATCCTCTTGCTTCACTTTGGGTCATTTTACACATTTCAGAAGCAACTTTACTGGCCTTTTTTACCTGGGGCGGGGGACAGAAATAAACAAGTTTCTAAGTTAGAAGAAAGAAATTAAATCTTTACTGTAGTAGGAATGAAGCTCGTTCCCGAGAATTTCAGCTAGATTGTGGCTTTCAGAAAAGTCTAATAAAAAGTTTATGTGGAAAGACAAGTTTTTAGAAATTACACTCCAACGAACATCTACAAAACCAAAGAAAGCGATTCAAAAGTACTTCCTTGTCTCACCTCTCTTTCTTGCATTAATCTCTGGCCTTCTGCAGCATATAAACAATTAGTTTCTTCCAAAAATTTCAGTTCAAATGAATCTTTGTATACCTAGGAAATGACCAAAGTTATCGATCAATTACAGGAAAGAAATCTACCTTAGGAAGTGCTGACATACCCAAGACTTCCAGGGAGCCCAGTGGCAGTGACCTGCCCTAACACGCGGCCCCCAGAGGCGCATCCGGGCGGCAGGGCTGGCTCTGGGCTCGGGGACCCAGGCAGCCCACACCACCTGACGCGCTCTCTCCTCTGTGAGTGCCGAAGGCCCTCGCCCTCTCCCTGGGGCGCTGGGTGTGTGTTTGAAGGGCTCTCTTCTGGGGCTGGTGGCACAGGGCTAACTGAGCTTCGTATCCAGCCCTCGACCTCTCCTGCATCCACCTGTCTCTGCGGGAGTAGGGGGGCCGGGGCGGGGGCATTACCTGCAGGTCAGACAGCATACTCAGCAGACTTCTCAGTAAGCTGCGGTCCACTGCCTCACCGTTCCTCTCTCGTTCAATTAAGAGCAGAATTCCATCGATACTTTTACTCTGAACCATCTTGTCGCTAATGATATGGTTTCTAAAGAGTTCCAGCCCCATGTCCCTGTATGAAGAGTAGAAACAAAACTGTACGTTAGTTTTACTTTTTAGAAGTCCGAGGTAAAGCTACGAGCTACACTGTGACTCTCATCCTGAAAGTTTTGATCTAACCCCAGATCCATGTGTTGAGCCCAGCTCTGCTGCATCTCCGTTTTCGGCCGGTCTAGCGTGCTTTGTGTTTGCTTCCTTATCAAGGCTATTTCCCTGGGTGTGTCAGGCTTGTCAACGTAAAGTCCATCGATCTTGCAAACACCGTGGCTCACATCCTTCTTCCTGGGGTGGATTTTAGGAATCTCCACCCACCCAGAACCTGTCTGACCCTTTTCCATCTCTGCTTTCTCCACGGCATGTCATCCAACTCCCCCTCTCCCCAGCACTGGGGCCTCTCCTCTATCTGGTCCTTCCCACCGAGGAAAGGAACGTGAAACGAGACTCTAGGAGTCCATCCTTCCTCGGCTTGTCACCTGGGGAACTCCAGAGGAAATCCAACTGCCGGTCACCAGGCACAGAAACCCCAGGGGAACAGGTTCTGCGCTCTGTTCAAACATCTCCACGGGCCCCTTACGTGTCCAGCACTGAGCAGGCAGACAAAACTCAACTCCTGGGCCCACCAGGTCTCCTCAACAGGCAGCGGAGGTGGGTGCGGCGAGCAGCGTGCAGGGGGCACGGGTTCCAGGGAGCCCCATCTGCGGACCCCGTCCTACAACATGCACCACGGGAGGCTTTTCCTGGTCCCTGCAGGAGCCGCAGGCCTGGGAGCTCTGTGCATGTGCTGGACGCAGCAGGCAGGTGCAGGGGTCAGCCGTGCAGGCCCACGCCGGGCACCCAGGTCTGAATCCGAGTCCCACCCTGGCTCGCACTGCCTCTGGGTCCCCGCCTGTCCTTCCCACACTATAAATGGGGTCACAAGTCTAGTCTCCTGCCCGTGAAGCCCTTCCACCCTGGGCAGGTTGCCCGTGCGGGGCGGACGCGGCGTCCGCTGTCCACTCATCCACCTGCTCTTCTGTTGCGAGACGCTGCTTTCTAAAATCTCGATCTCGCTGCTCTCCGCCATTGGTGACCAGGACGTCCTGTGGCCTCGTGTCCCCGCCTCCCTCACAAACCGCTCATCCCGAGCAGCTCCTGTTTCCACACAGGCTTCCTCTTCTCCAGCAGCAACTCCTTCGGCCTCGGCCACATCAGCACTCCCGCTCATTCTGCGAAGCTCAGGCCCCAGAGGAGGCTGGCCCTCCCCGCCTGGGGCGTCTCTCGTGCACCTGCAGCGAGAGTCTGGTCCTAGCAGGCGCAGCTTTCCTGCCTGCTGCTGTGGCCTGAGACCACCGTCATCTACGCTGTAAGTGGAGTTTCTTGCCTCTGATGACGTGACTACGTTAAGAACTGTGTTTATGAACCAACAGTTCAGACTAGGCAGCCCAACAACCTGGGAACAGCAAATTATGGGCACTGTCTGCCTCAGTTTCTCCATCTGTAAAACGGAGAAAATGATCATCCGTCCAGAGCTGTACAGCAGACTCGGTATACCGGCAGGGCTGGACCTCTTAGGACGGAACCTTGCACACACCAGCTGCCATGCTGTTCATGGCGAGCCCAGCACAGCACCCTGCTTCTCTGAACAAAGGCCCCTCTCTCTGCCCAGGGCCGGCAGGCTGCAGGCCCCCAGAGTGTCCAGTGCCTCGCGTACAGGAGCAGAGGCTAGGGAGGGCAGAGCGGCAAGGGGGACAGTGGCACCGAACAAGGGAAGGCTTTCAAGAAGTGTCCAGAGCTGCATAGACGTCAGGTAATAGAAAACGAAAAGCATCCATGAGCTCTGGCAAGCAGGGGTCAGCAACACCTTAGGGAGACTCAGGTCAGGGGAATGGATGCTAAGGAAACTGGAAAAGCAAGCCGCTCCTTAAAGAACTTGGGTTGAAAGGGAACAGAGAAGAGCCCAGGAAGAGCCCACAGACGACATGAGCAACCAGTCCAGTCAGGTCAAGCAGGGCTTCGTGAGGCGGCGGCGGGCACCCCGGGGCCAGGCAGCGCGGCAGACGACATCTGCACAGGGTGTGGAAGTGGGTGAAGGTGTGGAAGTGGGTGACGGTGCGGCATCCCTGAAAGAAGGCCTCTGTGCGTGTGGCCAGTCAGCGGGTGGGGAGGCCTGGGGGGGGGGGCTTCAGGACCCCGTGTCATGACCTCACCAGCCTCGGAGGTGAGGCTCAGAGCTTCACTGGACCACTGGCTGGACCAGCTTCTGGAAGGTCACGGAGAGCCTCGGCCCCTTGCTCCCAGCAGAGGGGAGCCATGTGCTGCTGGCCCTGGACAGCCCTGACGCGCAGCACCCGGTGACAAAAATGGGCCTCCCCACAGGGCTGCCACGCCGGCCTGCCACCCCCATGGTGACGCTGAGCGCAGGCCGGCTGGGGGCCCCGGGGGGCTCCCCTGGTGCGGCCCGGCTCTGCCCCGGGACTAAGGTCCAGCTGGGTCTGGACGTGTGTGCTCGTGGCTCTGGCGGACATAAAGGACCAGACTGCAGGGCAGCAGCAGAGGCAGCCCGACCGCCCCCGGACACTCACCAGATAGAAGGAAGCATGGAATTCTGAAGGACGTATGTGCGGTCCAGGAACAGGAAAATACTTCTGATCATGATCTGGCAGTTAGAAAAGCATTTATTTACGTCACTTACCAAATATCCAAGGCTAGGCCTTCTGAATCACAACTACGGTAGCTGTCTCAATCTAACAGTAACTGTTTCCTGACGACGTTCCCCACCAAGACCCTCATGCCTGATTTCTCCCCCATATTTAGTTGTTCTTTTGAGGTTTAATTTTCACCTCTTTTATCCAGAAAATCTGATTATACAGATTTTAAACTATTTAACTTAAGGGATACCTCGGAAATCTGGTCATCTCTTGACCGATGTGGTAAATCTCAGGGGCTTAAAGAGACACTTTAAGCTTCCTAAACCATCAGTCCTTATCACCTTGACACGAGGCTGCTGGCCACGTGTCCGACTCTCTTTTGCAAGCAGAGCATGGAGGGGACAGGATCGTCAACGGCCCTGGGATTCTCCTGTCACAGAAGCCACCAGCCTTGTGACCAGAGCCTTCCCAGCAGACGTTCATCTATTCTGACCATCTACCAGGTGCCTATGCCGGAAAAGAGGTTCATTCAATGTCCCTTTTTACCTCACTGAGGAAACAAAAGAATGCCATCCACTCAGCAAAGCCCTAGTCCCGCTTCCACTTACAAACAGGCCACACGAAGAAACTCATATACATAAGACCAGATTAGAATCAACACATGCACAAAGTCCGAGACTTTGGCTTTCCAGTTATAGTAGAAACCTCATCGGGCTTGATGGTCACGCACAAAGCGGGATAAGGAAAACTTCAGGGATCCATTCAGGATTCCTGAGCTGTCAGGCTGGTCTGAAGCTCGCGGCAGCAGCCAGCCCCAGTCTAGAAAAGCAACTCACACCCTGCTCTGCTCTGCTGTTCAACTACATTGAGCTGAATGGCGGCATTTCACCCTAAACAGAACTTCCCTATCTCAGCCCACGGTCTGGCCCACACCGTCCCTGGGCAGGTAAGGGAAGATGGATGAGGCCACGCTTTGATTAAAAAGGAAAGAAGACGGCTGGATTAAAAGGGGCACATCCTCCCCGCTCCCCCACTCCCTTCTGTTCGGCTACACCGGAGGATGAACAGGATCAAGAGGGTGTGTGCAGGGGAGACGAGGCAGCACAGTGGCAGCGAGGCAGGCTCTGGGAAGCACTCCACACCTGAGGCTGGGTTCGTGGGGACAGTCCATGCACTTACCATCTGTCTGCAATGATCCTGCCAGCACGTGTTAATCTTCTTTAAAAATAAAACACTATCTAGTGAGTCTGTGCAGATCTGCTAAGGAAAACATGCCAAATGCTGGCCAATTTAATTACTGCAGTTTCAGCCCCTTCACTGCCATTCCTGACACAAACACGGCCGTCACTCAGTTGTCAGAGGACCAGGGATGTGGGTTTTCTCCATCACTGCATCTCACCCCGCACTGGTGATCAACGTGGCTGCATTCCCCTGCCTTCCCCGCATCCCTCGAGGAGCCCTGCTGCCTGAACCCCAGCCCCAGGCCTCGTGGGTATGGGTGGTCAGACAGAGGGCAGGTCGTGAGCCGCGCTACCCCGGTGCACAGGAAGCAGGCCGATTGCTAACGGCGCCGGGGACCGGCAGCTACAGGGAGGTGGCTGATGTCTGACTTAGAGCCTCAGTGAGAACGGACGGGAAATCCCATTCCTGCTCCAAACCAGGACCACTCTCAGCTTGATAATTAGAACCTATTTTCTCAGAAATGTCAAAATAGCGTTTGTGAGAAAAAAGAAACCGCATTATGGGCTCCTAGAGCAAAGCGCGGCCTAACGCCTGGAGCACGGCCGTCTCAGCTTTGTGTGAAGTTGGGGTCCTGAGCTTCGGCTGCTGCGTGGCTCGCCAAGCCCCCTTCGCACGAGCTTCCCAGTCTCCCCAGCCGCGTGGTGCAGGCTGCGTTCCGTCGCTGTGGACCAGCACTGCAGCCACTGAGGGGGGGAGACCTGCGTCACCTGGCTTCTGTCCCTGCGGTCCTAGCTCCAGGACACTTGACCAGCAATGAGCTTCCCTGGGGCTCCATTTCCTCGGAGACGGTGTGAGGTTAGACATAAAATCCACAGCACGTAAAGGGGAAAAAGCCCACGGCCAGTGTGTGACATGTCCAATCAGACAAACATCACTGTCTTCAGTTGGCGGGGAGGTGTGCGGAGGGCGGGGCTCAGCCAGGACTTTGGGGAGGGGACAGAAGGTCAAGAGTGCCCTGAGGGACTGACGGGCACACCCGCATCTCGTCACACTAGCCGGGCGAGCTGACCACAACCACAGTGGTCCTGGCCAAGCATCTTACTTCTTTTCTCTCGAGACTTTGCTAATAATTACAAAGTCCTAGCAGAGAACTACTAGTTCAAGGGTTAACACGCTGTTCTCAGAGAAGCATTTCACGCCTGCCCACATTTACAGCGGCATGCAGTATTAGAACCTTGCGCAGACAGTGTGAACAAAGAAAGAGTCACACGCCTTTTAGAAAGGTGCCACTGCAGCGGGGACCCAGCAGCTCTGGCACCTGCGGCTGCACACCGGCCACTCGCTGTGTGGCCCACACGCTGGCCATCTCCACGGGCCGTCTGTACCAGCTGAGGGCCGAGGCACCAGGGAGGCCGCCCAGGCTGAGACACACACCAGCCAACCTGACTGCCCGGACGGCCCCCGCGCTCTAACTAGGCAGGCAGCACCCCGCCCCGCACGGGGTTTCCTTGGCAGGGAGAGGTCCATGTGCTGAGCTCACCAACGAGAGAGGCTTCTCCTTAAACAGCTGGCAGAGGTCAGTAACTCCTGGCCACTCCCCATGGAACGCAGTACAGAGCGGTCAGCTGGGCCTCGAGGGTGGCACACACGGAGCTCCAGCCCTCCATGTGTCGAAACCCAGAGCCTCACGTGAGCACCGCCGGGCCGCACGGCAGGCAGCCATGCAGAGGGCGGGTCCGCGGGCTTGCACTTCACAGGTTCCCGACACCGTCCCCTCCTGTCTGGAGAAGGACCAGACAGAAGTGAGGGTTTAAGCAGCCTACCAGCCTCCAGAGAGCAAACAAATACCCAGTGGCAACAAGCTGACACACCATGTTAAAAGCTACATGTTCCCAGGACTGCAAAGATTAAACGGAGAAGACACCAGGAACAGCGCTCGGGCCGGAGTAGAACGTGATCAGGCGTGTCTGTGCCGTGTCCCTAAGGCGGGCCGCTCTGCTCCGACTCCAGAGTGCGCGGCCTCGGAGCTGGCCCGCGGCAGCAGACACACCGGGCCAGCGGCTCGGCTCCACACGACGCCAGCGGCTCGTCCCGGACAGCCCTCCCCCAAACCCAGTCTCCCCACCCGAGGGCGGAGAACGACACTCTCGCCCAACGGGTCCCAAAGTTCACAGGTTCGGCGATTCACTTCTTGCCTCCCTCGCGCCCTCATCGGTCCACAAAGCCCACAGAGGAAAGGCACACCGTGCCCGTCTCTGAACCCCAGCATGAACCCGGGGCCACGCTCCAGCTGTGCACCCTTCCGGCTGACAAAGAGGGTGCCGTGCCAGAGCAAGGGCCCTGCACACAGAAGGCCCCTGAAAGCGTGAGCACAGAGGGTCTTCGTAAAGAAGCCCCAAGCCTGCCGTCCTCCGTGGGGCAGGAAGACGCAGGAAGTCGTGAAGCTGCCGTCCGTTGTGCACCTTTCTGCCCTGTGGGCTGCGCTGCTTCTGTGCACGATTCCAGCCCCAACACCCCACGTAAGGCCGCCAGTGCTCCTGCGGCTAACCAGAGCTGCGACAACGTGCAGCTCAGACTCCAAGGGCAGTCTGGTTTGCCATTTAGGAAGAGGCCCTCGTGAACCGAGCCCTGGTGCGCGGCACGTCACCCCCCGCTGCATCGTCCGCCGCCTAGGTTGGCACCTGGCCGAGGGGCACGGGGACGGCCTTGGTTTGGGAGAAGGGAGTGGGGAGTGGTAAGTGCAGAACCGATCACACACACGAGCGAGCACCTGAGGACCACAGGCCTGGTCTCCCCAAGCTCCCCTCCTGTTACAGGCCGTGGACGCAGAGCAAGGCGCAGCCCTTCAGCCACAGACCGGAGAAACCCGGACACGCTGACCCCGACACACGACCGCCCCAGCTGTCTGGGCATCCGCGGCCGCTCCCCCCCAGGCCCCTCTGCGAGGTTACGGAGCCCCCGCAGGCACAGCACCTCCCCTGCATGACTGGCCACCCTCTCCTCACCATGCAGTTTCTGAAATGTGTACCCTCTACTCCTGCCAATCCCTCCCCAGCCCAGGGTTTAAGCTCCGTCTTCCTGTTTGTTGCCAGGCCGGGAGGTGGATGGACACTGGCCTCCCTTATCACCGGTCTTGTCCTGCTGCATTGCTTCCCACACCTGCGAGGGCTCTCAGATGTGCAGACGATGGCCAAAGCCTCTGGAGTGCACACACCGGTTCAAAGCCGGGTGGCAGTCCTGAACGCCAGCAGCCCTCCCAGGGCCGGTCGAGCCACAGTGCTCTGGCTCTCTGCACGCATCTCCTGGCCCACTCCTTCTGGCCAGCTACACCCTGCCCCTCCTCTCCAATGCGACTCCAGTCCCCTCCTCTGGGAAGCTCCGCCCAAGCCGGCCGCTCCCTGCACTGCCACTCCTGCCCCCGATTCTAGCAACTCAGCATCTCAGAACTCAAGGGGCCTCTCACTAGTGGAGACAGAAGATGGCAGAGCGTCATTTTAACTTTTCTCTTCTCTGAAATACACGGTAATTTTTATAAGCACGGTTTGTCACAGCCTCGAGGACACGTGACAAGCCCCTTGCCTCGGTCACCGTGCTGTGACTACCGGGAGGGCAGGGAGCAGGCACGGCAACCGTCTCCCCCGTCTGCCAGCGGGCCGGACGGGAAGGAAGCGCTGCTGAACGCGGGACTCAGGAACGCGTTCGTTCGCTTAACTCACAAGGCAGGGTCAGCTGGGAGGAGGAGGGTCTCATCAGGTAATCAAGCAGTCCCGGACTAAGTCTCCGTGAGACCGGCTACGTGAGGTGTAAGCGCACCAGTTCTCCCTCACGTGTGCCGTCTGCGAACGAGAACTTAGGGATCTGCTGGCGGCTCGCAGGAAGCCTGGGTTCTAGCTACCCTTCAGACGCCAGCATCCTGACGTGGGTTCCTAGACTCGTCTCCAGCCTCCGGGACTCCTGAGCTGTGGCACTGAGGCCGGAGGGGCGCCTCTGTGTGCCCTCAGAAGACGGCTTTGAGATGTGGTGCACGCTGGCCATCTTCCGTAGGTTCAACGGTGTGGTCACCGTGGTCCTGAAGGACAGAGCTGTGCCAGAAAATGCCGCAGAGCTGTAGTTACAGACACCGAGGCAAGAGGATCAAAATGGACTCTGCTCATCCACGTCGGCAGAGACCCTTGCTCGAGGCTGCACCGCAGGGCTTCACGGCCACGGGCAATCCTGAGCCCCGTCAGCAGGCGGCAGCACTACGGGGGCTGCCCTGAGGGATTTCCACAAGCTCTGAGAGCTCCCGTTTCTCAAGGTGAGGGTACAGGACAGAAAACATTCCTTTAGCTAGAAAACAAAGTCAGAAATGAACAGGTTCCAGCTACCTACCACAGACGAAGAGAGAGACCCAGAAAAGAGCAGCCCCGGCCAGGTGCGGCAGAGCAAAGCCCACTCAGGAGGTGCGCGGAAGACACCAGCCAAACTCGAAGACACCCCCGCCCCCGTGTCCCAGCCTGTAACTCCCTCTCTGGACCCTGGGAGGGCTTTGAGCACGAGGGTTACATCACACAATCCTGTCCAGCAGACCAGAGAGGGGCCCTCTCCTGCTGGCTCAGATGAAGCAAATAACACTGGGGCCTGAGAAGAGGCCTTGCGGTGAGAAGCCGGGGCGGCCTCCAGGGGCTGAGCAGCGTCCATCCCGCGACAGAGGGAGAGGAGCTCCGCCACCACCGCGGCAAGCCAGCAAGGTGGCTTCAGGTGAGACCCCAACCGGCCGGCCCCATGCTTTCAGCCAGACAGATCCTGAGCAGAGAACCCGCTGGGCCCAGCCGTGACGCCCCACACACGCAGCTGAGCCTACAGATGGGTCCTGGCTTTCGTCGCCAAGTCCGTGGGAATTTGTGACACATCACAGAAAACAAGGTAAAAGGATGGCAGAATAAAATTAAGACACTTTCCAGAACTTACCCTAAATATTTCAACCAGACCCAATAAATGGACACTCTATTGCTTTAAGCAGATACGTAATTTAAGTGGTAAAAATTCTACTTAAAAAAAAAAGGCCTTTTATATTAGACCACATGAAACGTAAGTTAGGTTTTGTTCTATAAATGGGAATTTTAAAAGCTGTTGTTTTAATATTAAGGATACTCATTAGTTCTTTATCCTACTAATGTTCAGCCTCAAAGGATTTAGGTAACGGACAGAAACCCATGAGCCAGAAAAAGGATATTCTCTGAACTGGAGGATCTGTGCTTGGACGTGATCTTCACAGACCTGGCGCAGCTGCTTGTACAGCGTTGGGGAAACTTTGTGAGAACAGAGATTTTCAACAGCCTGAAAACAAAAGGAACAAGTGAATTATTGACCGTGAATAACAAATCAGGTCTTTAAAAAGCCCTGTGTGTACACACACTAAGATCACAGCCGTCAGACAGGCGCCCCGCCCCCTCACACGTCCACAACCCACAGACACAGTTAGGAGCCAGTGTAAGGCGATGACGGTCTGAAGCCCGGGGCCCGGTCAGGGTTCGGCAGGAACGGTGACAACAGTGGATGTGGAACACGGTGTGACAGCACCCCTGACAGCCTGACAGCCACATGGCGTGACCGCACCATGTCTGAGTGCCCACCATGCAGCAACCTCCCAACCTGGCCACACACAGCCGTCACCTGGGGACGTCAAAAGAAAGCCGGGCGCTCCCACTCACTCGTCTGAGGGGAAGGGCGCAGGAAAGCTGTGTGAGTGTAACGTGCAGCTGGCCCAACCCCCGCTGCCCGCCTTCCAAACGGGGGGCGCAGCAGCAGGGCGGTTCCAAGGAACAATCACAAAATGCCCGGGTGACACAGACTAGGTTGTGCTGTTTCCTATTTACCTTTCTTCAAGGTAAATTAGTAATTTACTTAAGTTTGTCTCAATGAAGAAACAAGTTTTTTAGGCAGAAACATTTTTCTTAAAATATTTTTTACCCACATCAAAAAAATATTTGTATATTCCCACCAGTTCCAGTGAAATTTTTCAAATTCCATGTACAATACCAGCATCTCATCTAATCCAAAGGAGATACTAAAAGCAAACGTAATTTTTTCTGACTAGTTTTGAGCCATTTAAAAAAAATGGGGATACGTTGCCTTGAAACACTTTGGAATCTAAATTTAACTCAAAAACTGTACTCCTGAGAAAATAAAAATAACAAGTTTTTATAAAGCTATTCACTGTAGTAACACTTAAAACATTAACAGTCCTCATGCTTAATGTTACACAAAGTGCTACATATTAGCCTGCGTTGAAAAATACAGTAACCCTGACGTGGAACAAACGCATGTTCAGAAGACGAAAAGAGAGCGGGGTGCGGGTGTCCACAAAAAGTACGACTTCTCAGCAGGTTTATCATCAGGGTACCACCACCACCACAGGAAGGGCCCTATTCGTCTTGCTACAGAAATAAAGCCTCATGTACATTCAGTGCTGAAATCCCCCGACTTTTCTTTTCTTTTTTAAAAAGATTTTATTTATTTATTGGACAGAGATCACAAGCAGGCAGAGAGGCAGGCAGAGAGAGAGGAGGAAGCAGGCTCCCTGCTGAGCAGAGAATCCGATGCTGCGGGGCTCGATCCCAGGACCCTGAGACCATGACCTGAGCCGAAGGCAGAGGCTTTAACCCACTGAGCCACCCAGGCGCCCCTCCCCCGATTTTCCTTAAACTCTGCAATTCCTTCACTTTATAGTCCCGTCTGTACAATTCAAAGATCTATCCTTTTCCTTCTTAAAAAACCCAAGGTAACCTGATGACAAATGCTTTTGCTCCAGTAAGTTAATCATTAGGGGATTCCCACAAACATAATTATCACGAAATGTTTTGAATGTAATACATAAAACGTATTTTGTTTGGTAAAAATCCAGAGAAGCTGGAACAAGTCACTGAAGGGAACCACTACGAACGTTCTAGTTCCCGAAGCAGGACTCAGTGCCCTCAAAGCCAGCTCTCTCCAGCTGTGACAGGCGGTCACTGTGGGCTTTCCTATCCACAGATAGGTTTCTCGTCCCATCTGGACAGACCTGCTGTTCACCTGAAGCACACAGATTCCTTCTGCATTTAAACCTGAGGACTCAGGGGCCTCTTCAACCACAGGCAAACCCAGAGGAGCCGAGTTAGCCATGGGTGCTGTCCTTTCTCGAGTCTCTGCTGAGTCACTGCTGGAGTCTTACATTACAGGGAGCACAGAGGGCGGCCCCACTCGCAGGGCCCTGGCAGACTTCTCTGCCCCGTCCAGGAGCGCCGTCACATGGAAGCCCCCTCCCCAACCCGACATACTTTGGATTTAGGAAGGCCTTCTCTGGCCTATAGAGTACTCAGCCTGACCTGTGCGGGGGAAGGTGCCTCCGACGTTCCCTACTCGTCTTTTCAAGTGTCCTAACAGAGAAGAGGAATTTAGCTAATCCAACGATTAGAGGTGGGCAAGCAGCATCTGTGTGAGGATAAAGGCTCCCACTTAGAGGCGGCAGACACTGCTTGTCTGAACCGCCCACAGCTCAGCTCTCTAATCTAAGTCCTCCAGGCCTCCACACCCAACCCCTTCGGGCTGCTGTCCGTGTTAGGACAGCCGAGCAGGGCAGCATCAAATGCCTGTTTATTTGCAGGGCCAAGCCCTCAGCCCCAAGTGACACTTGTCCCTCGGTGGCACAATGCCCAGCAAGGCATGCTGCGGGGCGGAGAGAAAGCCTGGCGGCCATGCAATGCGGGCACGCGATTCTGGCTGCTGATCTGCTTCACGTAAAGGCCTTGAGGACCAAAGCCGAGACCAGACAGAAAAAGGAGTAAACGGTGCCATAGTGTGAAAAATCACCAAAGTGAGAGCAGGCTGGCACTAGGAGCTATTTAAGTAGATGAAGAGAAAATGAGAACTACCCCCAGCCCTGGAGAAAATCACACCCCGGGCCAACCCCTATAAGGAAAGGCGCACTGGCTGGGGCTCCCGGCACAGCGCACCTTACAGCGGGAGTGCACAGCGCTCCTCGGACAAACAGGCACGCGCAGATCAGGGCGGAAGGCGGCAGCGACCGCCCCGCGGTGAGCAGTAGCCAGTCTGGAAGACGGGCCCTACTCAACGGCAGCCCCACTGAAAGGTGATGAGCTCACCGCCTGGGAAGGCGGCACCGACAGGGCTCTACGCCACCAGATTTCTACCTATAAGAAATGAGCAAAGGATGTAAAAACTCAATCAGAACTCAGATCCAAGTGAGGGGAGATATTAGGAACAGGAAGTGCCATAGCACGAGGGCTTCGGGGAACGCCAGGGTCAGTGCGGCTGTTTACCAGCAGACTCCCAGTCCCAGACGTCAGCTACCTCCAGAAACAACCGGCCCTGTTGAGTGCTGAGACTGCTGACTTACGAAATCCTTTCTTTTTAAAAATATTTATTTGGGGGCGCCTGGGTGGCTCAGGGGGTTAAAGCCTCTGCCTTCGGCTCAGGTCATGATCTCAGGGTCCTGGGATCAAGTCCCTCATCGGCTCTCTGGTCAGCGGGAAGCCTGCTTCCCCCCTCTCTGCCTGCCTCTCTGCCTACTTGTGATCTCTGTCAGATAAATACATAAAATCTCTTTTAAAAATTTAATTATTTGACAGAGAGAGAGCGAGCGAGCAAGCACACAATCAGGGGAAGCAGCAGAGGGAGAGGGAGAAGCAGGCTCTCTATTAGGCAGGGAGCCTGACACAGGGCTCAATCCGAGCCTGAGATCAGGACCAGAGCTGAAGGCAGATGTTCAGCAAACACTTAAGCGACCGATCCCCCAGGCGCCCCCATGAAATCCCTTCTATTAAGCCAAATAGATTGAAGTTTGCAGATTTTCCTGTTTTTGAATAACTTATGTACTGAGTTCACTGTTGGTTAATTTGTTACTTTCTCAAATTGGGCCATCAAGTGATGTTTGTGCGCGTCTACCGTCCAGGCCTTTTCACTCTGTCGCATCTTTCTGAGCCATCCTACAAATGCATTCAATACCTAAGTCCACATTTTCCTTCACTTAATTATCACCAGGCAGCAGGATTTCAGAGACATTAGTCTGACTCGAGACAGCAGAGCCTTCCTCAGAACAACAGGTCCCCCACGATGGCTTTGTGTCTGGGCATCAAAACTGCCAGAAATCAACATTAGCCCTTCCCTGAAACCCTTCTCGAAAATGCAGCCTTCGGTTTTCCGTTGTTTCATTACGGTGACAAGCAGGACTAAAACGTAGAGACAGGAGACACACAAGATAAACTTTCTCCCGCGGGTAGTGATTAGAAGGTCTAAACCCCAGGTCTTTGAACAGACTAAAAAGTTCTATGCGTTGAAAACATTGTCCCCATGAAGACTTTCCCGTCACCACTCTTGGCACCTCCCTCTTCACTAAGCAGAGTGACAGAGAAAGGACAAGTGGACTATAGCTGACGCCCTGGGGCCTATCTGCGAAAGGGATGCCTTGAGGGGAGGATAAGAGACCCCACTTTGAGAAACAAATCAACATCAAACCATCCTGAAGACTTCCTCAAAAAGACCCAAAATAACTTTCACACTTCAGTAAGAATTGTTACTTTCACACGAGATTCTTCGGCAAAATATACGCCACACCACCTCAGAAAACAGACCTTATTTCGAAACAACAGGTCAAGTGCACTGCCTCCTTTATCACAGACCAGGGTAAAGCACACAGTCAGTAACTACACAATGACGTCACTTACTATTTCTGTCCCGCTGGCTTCCAACAGATCTGAGCAGCTCACTCCAGAGCCCTGTCTTGAACTGCGTGGGGAAGGTCTCTGTGAGCGGCCAGGAGTTGCCTGTGCCCACACCCCTTCGGAAGTCAGTCAACCGACCCCCACCGGGCCCTCCCGCGGTGCCCACACAATGGAACGTGTGATCCCATTTGGGGGGTAAGCCCCTCTGGCCCTCAGGGTCCTAAGACAGCACATGGACACTCAGGGCATTTACGATAGTATCTATGGAGACCACCACGGAACGTCCTACTGGGTAAAAGCCACTGCGGAGTCACTCTACTGAGGAAAACGACAGGCAAGAAATACCAGACAGTCAAGTCTCAAGGAAAAGAGGAATAATCAGCTCTACCTGCGCCGCATGGTATTTTCTTAAACTAAAAACCTATGGGGGTTTAGATGTTTGACAGGACTCCTGCTTCTGGTCAAGACAAAATAGAGAGACTAGACTGGCCCTTCTCCCTGAATTTACCAAAAACCACACGAAATACACAAAAGGAGCATCTGGGTGGCCCCATCAGTTAAGTGTCCCAACTCTTGATCCGGGCTCAGGCCATGACTTCGGGGTTGTGAGATTGAGCCCAGTGCTGAGATCTGCACTGGGTATGGAGTCTGCTTTGCTTCAGATTCTCTCCCTCTTCTTCCCTTTGCCCCGCTTCGGCAGCACCCCCCACCCCCCGCCAAAAAAAAGAAAAGAAAGAAGCATCCGTTTTCAAAGCACTGCACACTGGCCTATGACAGACGGTGATCTCTGGGAGATGGGAAAGAAGCCCCAGCACTCCGACTTCTTATATCCCCGCTTCCAGGCTGCAGAGTGGGTACCAGGAGCTGACGTTTGAGTCTCCAAGACAAGGGCCCAGAGGGAAGAGATGCAGCCAGAGAGGAGCTTACAGATGAGCGAGGAGACCTCAAGGGAGCCCCCCTCGAGGATTCAGCAGAGCGATGACCAGGAGCTATGTGTGAGGAAACTGTCAGATTCAGAGACAACAGTGTCTGGTGCCCAGAGGACCAGGAATAGCACCTTCCTACAAGCCAGAGTGGAAAACCACACGATACTAGGCACTGAATACTCATTCAGGAAGGGTTTGCCCCAGTTGTGGGGCAATTAGCCTTGGACAAAATACTGCTCTCGTCCTGCCCAGCAAATCTTAGAAGCAGGACTAAAAGATTAAACTGTTCCCAAATAATTTACCAGGTCTGCAGGGAAGCTCAGAATATTTATAGAAATACAAAAATATCCATCACATGTCTGACAATCAAAGATTATCCGATGTGCAAAGAAGAAAACACAACCCTTACTGGGGAGAAAAAGAACTCAAAAGTGGCCTGGAACCAACGCCGAAACCGCTATTCTAAGGCCATTCCCTAAGCTTGGAAGTTACCCAGTGACAGGGAAGGCACAGAAAAGATTCCAACTGAGCATCTGGAGAGAACACCGACGCACGAGACAAAAATCCCAGCAGACGGCAGTCCTGGCAGATGACGTGCTGCAGAAGATCAGTGACCCTGAAGACAGGAGTGACCCGAACAGCTCTATAGCCACTGAAGAAATGTGTAGTTTACGAGCTCCCCGCTAAGAGAGCCAGTTAGTGATCCACTGGGAGTTCTCTCAAACAGTTAAGGAAAAAATAATACCAATTCTATACAACCTCTTACAAAAAAGTAAAAGGGGGGACTATTTGGCCCCCTGAAACCAAATGCAAGAAAACACACCACCACCTTCCGTGATCACAAATTCAAAAACGAATGTAGTATTAGCAAAACGAATCCAACAACGTATAAAAAAATAAGACCCCACTACCAAGTCAGATTTATCTGAGGTCTGCAGGACAGTCTTATCGTCTGGAAAGCCAATCAATGCGATAAGCTGAGAAAAGGAGTCATACAATCACCTCAGCAGGCACAGAAGAATTCAATAAAATCCAACAGGTGCTTCTGGTAAGTTCTCAGCAAACTGGGAAAAGAAAGGAGGTCCCTCAATCTGACAATGGGTATTTTAGAAAAAACCACACCTAACATCATACTCCATGATGGAAGACTGAAGGCTCTTCCCACAGGAGCCCCACAAGGACATCGGCTTCTACCACTTCTACTCACCATCGTTCTAGTGGGTCTGAACAGTGAGCAGAAGTAAGAGAAGGAAACACAAGGCATGAAGATTAGAAAGGAAGAAGTGAAACCATCTTTGCTCATAGGTGACATGACTGTCTATGTAAAATATCTGACGGAATCTGCAAGAAGCTACTAGAAGTAGCGTTAGCAAGAGAGCACCATATTAGAGAGACACGTACATAGTCCTACGTCTACACACTAGCACGAACCAGGAACTCTAACTTGCACCACCACCTGTAACCACCGAGAACATCACACGCTTATGGGTAAATCTCACAGGTGAGGTACAAGACTTATACCCTGAACTAAAAACAACTAGAAATCAAGGAAGACTAAACAGACCCATGCCTTGTGATCAGCTGGTGGGCGCGGTGCCATCGAGACATCAGCACTCCTCACATTGATGGAGAATCTGACACAATCCCCATCAAAATCCTAGCAGACATTTTTGCAGAAATAGGCAAACAGATTCTAAAACCCATACGAAAATGCAGAGGACCGCTATGTATGTGCTCAAGTGGCTAAAGTTTTTTAAAAATCTGAAAAAAACAAGTGTGAGCAAGAACACAGGAAACTGGTGCTCTCACCCATCAGTGGTACAGAGACTACACGGCGCAGCCATTCTGCGAACAGAGGACGTCCTAAAAAGATAAATACACGCTCTGCTTACGACTCTGAGACTCCACTTCTAGGTCTTTACCCAGGAGCAGCGAACACGTGTGCACGGGAGACTTCGACGTTCGTAACAGCCGTGCCCATAACCCCAACTGGAGATCCCAGTGTCTGTTACCCTGGGGAAAGGTGGCCCCGGGTCTCCCCAGCAACGAACAGACAATCACCGCTGCTCAAAGGGCTTGACACTCCCCAGCACCACCCTGATCGGAGGACGCTGGGCACAAGCAACTGCAGGATGCGGGTCCCACCGAGGGGACTCTGGGACGGGCGGAACACACCGACAGGAAGGACCTCCGTGACCTGCAGGGACTGGGGCAGGGGAAGGAACAGACTTCTCGAAGTGGCGTAAGTATCCCATACTTTATCGTGGCGATGACTATTTCGTCAACGCACACCTTACCGAAGCTCGCACTGCCGTAAGCTCCACGCTGAAAGTCCACCGAAGACAAACCAGACTCACACACACTTAACCCAAGAGAGGAGGGATGCCCATCCAACTGCCCACAGCAGCCTTCCTGGGGCGTGGGAGTGTAGGTGGCTTTAACTTTCCTCTTCCTACCCTGCTGTAATCTCCGTGTCTTTCACAGCAAACACTTTCAGGCAGACAGAAAAGAGATTTAACTCGGGTCCCCATAAAGACGGTGGCGTCACAAATGCAGCTGAGCTAGGCCGAAAGCACCGGCGGCGGCGGTGGACCAGCTCGTGACGCCCCGCCGGATGAGACACCAGGCCAGCGGGTGCTGACCCGCCGACCCTGCAAAGTGACACCCACTGCTGACCGTCTAGGCGAGGAACGGAACTTGTTGAAGTGCCACAGAACCCGTGCCCAAGTCCCAGCCGCACACGACGGCGCGACGAGCGCAGGACACCGCACAAGGGACGCACGGAGCGTCCCGAGCGACCTGGGAGCGGCGAGCGTCGGCGGCCGCCGGAAGCGCACCGTCTCCCGCAGGGCGGTCACCCCAGATGCCCTCCCGGGGGCTTGAGCCCACGGTAAACCCCGACGGGGACGGGGGGCAGGCTCGCGGCGGCTCCTGCTGGAGGCACGTCCTCGTGTGCCCAGGGCCTGGCTCTCGCCGACTGGGGAACGCACGGAGGACCGCTCGGCGCAGGCCGCTTCACCCCTCCGCCCCCGCGGCCGGTCCCTGTCACCGCGCGGCGCGGCAGCAGCGCGGCCAGTCCCGGGGGCCCGGCGGGAGCCTCACCTGGTAGAGCTCCTCCAGGTTGTAGCGGATGGACGTGCGGCTCTGGATGGCCCTCACGGCCTCGTGCAGCTGCTGCCAGGTGTCCCGCGTGTAGTTGTCGGGCAGCCTCGGCCTGTCTGCGAACACAGCGCCCCGTCAGCCCGCGCGCCCGCCCCGCTCCCGGGACCCTGCGCCCGGCGCGCGAGACCAGGGCCCCCGGGGCCAGCGCCGCTCTGCCGCCGTCCAGCGCGCTTTGCGGGACGCGGCGCGCGCACGCGGGCGGAGCTGTCCCGAGCGTCGGCGGCTCCGGTCACCGCGGCGCAGCGGCTCCCGCACCGGCCGCGGGGCAGGGCGACCGCGCCGCCCCACGACGGACACTTCCGGCGGCCGGGGCCCCCCCACGTCCCCCGGCCCCTCCCCGGGACGCCCGGCGCCCCAGGCCCCCCGCCCCCTCCCCGGGGCCCCCGCCCCCGCCCCCTCCCCGGGGCCCCCGCCGCCCCGGGCCCGGCACTTCCGGCGCCCACCGCGCCCGGCCGCCCGCCCCGCACCCACCTCGGAAATTCTTGATGACTAGTTTCTTGGAGCCGCCGCCGCCGGGCTTGGAGGACACGGCGGCTGCGGCGAGGGACGCGGGCTTCGTGAGGCCGTTGGTGTGTCCGACGAGCGCCGACAGGGCGCCCTTCCTGGGGGTCTCGTCGGCCATGGCGGCGGCCGGGAAGCAGCGCGCGCCCCGCCCCGTCCCGCCTCCCCGGCCGCGCGGGCGGGCGGGCCTCCGTCAGCGCCGCCCCGGCCGCCCAACCGCCGCCCCGCGGCCCGGCGCGACCCCGGCCCCGGCCTGACCCCGACGCCGCCCCGGCCCGCGGCGCTCCGTGGGGCGCTGGCAACGGTCGAGGGGGGGGGGGCGGCGGGGCGCAGGCTCGGTCAGGGGTCGGGGCGAGGGGCGAGCCGAGCTCCCGAGAGGCGCGAACGAGGCGTCCCCGCGGAGGGACGGCGACGAATCGCAGCGCAGGGCTCAGCCTTCCTCAGCCTGGGCGCGCCGCCATGCCGGCCCCGGTCGCACGCTCCGGCGGACTCTTTTCCTCCGGAACCCGCGTGCGGAGAAGGCGGGGCGGGGGACACGCGGGAAGGGACGGACTTCGGGCCGGAAGTGCGGCGGCCGAGGCCGGGCGCGCGGCCCCGCCCACTTCCGGCGGAGAGAGCGGCCATGGCGCACATCACCATCAACCAGTACCTGCAGCAGGTAGCGCGCGCCGCCCGCGGGGTGTGGAGCGGGCGCCCGGCCGCGCTGGCGGGAACGTGTGGGCCGGGGCGAGTAGGTTCGCCCGCCGTGCCCGAGTCCTTGGCCGCAGGGGCAGCGGCGACGGTGGGGCAGGCGGCCGACGGCGTTCCCAGAGAGCGGGGTGCGCTCGGGCGGTCGGAGGGGCCGCCGGGGCCGGTGGCCGCCGACCCGGGACGGTGCTGGGGAGCGAGCGGCGGGGGAGCTGCGGCCGCGCTCCCGACGCGGGGTCTGAGGCTCCAGTCCCGCGGCCTTCCCCGCGGCTGCGCGGGTGCCCGGGCCCGGGGCCGCGCGGGGCCGGACGCAGGGAGCGCGCTTCCGAACGGCCGACGGACGCGCTGCGCTGCGGTTCGCGGGTGCGGCGAGCGTCAGGGGCAGAGCGCGTCCCGGGTTGCGGCGGCGGCGGCGGAGCGCACTCGGCGGGGGACTTAGGGACCCCGGGGGGGGGGCCGGGGAGTTGGCGCGCGGGTGAGGGTCTGCGGGCGGCAGCTGGAGACGGTCTGACGGGACGGGGCGCCGGGCCGGCTGAGGACCGGCGGGGGCGGGCAGCCCGCATCCCCGCCCGTGCGCGCGCGCCTGGGGCCCAGCCCTGCGGGACACTCGTGGCGGTCCGCGAGAGCGCGGCGCGTCTGTCTGTCGAGGACCGGACGCCCGCGAGGAACGTGGGTGCGATTCCGTGTCCTTCCGGCCCCCACCCACTCGCGCACCCTTGAAGCAGGCAGAGTGTGACGCTCCTGGGGTCGTCCCGGCTCTTACTGCAGGGAAGGACGACCTTAGCGTGGCGCCGGCGAGGCCTCGGGAGTCCGTGATGTGTACCGCAGAGAAGTCAAACCTCCGTGTTCTTACCTTCCCGACTCCCAAGTGTATACCCAGCTCGGGCAGCGGCTCCCTCTGCTTTAATAAAAACACCATTTTGCACCAGAGACGTCTCAAGAATTCTTTCTTGGTCGTGGGCTTTGGACCTCACCCTCCCGGACCTCATCTGTGTTCCAAAACTCCATCCTTTGGCCCCGAACATGGGGCTTCCTAGTCTCGTCTGGACTCTGAGCCTCCGTGGGAACTTGGCGGGTACTTTCTCTCTTTACTTTCGTTCCAGGGGCCCTTCAAGGACGACGGTCTTAGTGGGACACAGTCATGTCCATTGCGCAGGCTGCAGTCCTCTAGCCCGTGTCCGCTCTGCGGGGAGGAGAAAGTCTGCCTCTGGCTGGAAGTTAGGACCCTGGCTGAGATGGTGATAAGACCCAGAGCCCTGGTGCTCTCCTCTCCCTTTACTCCTGTCCTTACGCAGAGTCGTCTGTCTTGGGCCCGGGACAGCCACCTAAGTCGCCAGCTTGGCTGCCAATCTTCAGACTCCCATGTGAGGTTTCCTCCTCATTGATCTAATGAGATTCCCCCTACGCTCTGGTCTAGCCCGTTCTGGCCGTGGGACCTCCACTGGGAGCCGGCTGAAAACAGTACCCCATGGGATTAAAACCCAGCCGGGCGGTTTCCCAGGGTAGTTGACTGTAAAGACCACATGTGTTGGAACGTTGCTTAGACCATGATGGATTTCCATCTTCACTGTGTTCTATCAATGTTCTCTACTAACAAATTATAAAACTGGGTAATTTTCTCTTATAAAACTTTATTAGTATTTCCCATGGGTTAAAAATGGCAGGGCCCTAATGGAGGCATGGGTATTTCACCAGGCACCCATTGGCAGCCTAGGATGTAATGGGGAGGGAGGCCGGCATCCCTGCTATGGGCCTTTCATGGCAGGAATGTCTTCATGGGAAGGCAAGATTGTGATCAGTAGCGATGTCTTGCTTGAGGGATGCCCGGTAGCTTTTGACACATAGAACCTCTGACATACCCTAGGTGGGTCACCTGGAGTCGGGGGCAATTGGTAATGGACCTTTCTTTACTTATCTGGGAGCGTGGCCCCAGTAGGCTTCTTCAGTTCCCAGGGACTCTACGTTGGACTGCCTTTTAACCCACTGGAAACAATCTGGATTGCAAACTTTAGGAAAGGACTGATTTGTAACTCTGCATGGCCTCAGTGGGATCTGTGAGATGTCTTGTGCAGGAAACAGGATTGTGGTCTCTATGAGTTAACTGTTTGTTTTTCCTTCGGGGCAGCCAGGAGTGCCTGAGGAGTGTCGCATATATCCCATGGGGAAGGGATGTGGGGTGTCAGCTTCCGCTTGTCCTCAGCTAGACTTCTGCTGCCTCGTCTCCTGTGTTCTCAGAGGAGTCTTGTTTGACGAAGTAGTTGGGTGATGGAAGGAGTAACCACTAGTGCTTGTTGAACTCTCACTGAGAACCAGCCGCTGCCACGCACTGTAGCTCGTCTTTACCACTTCTAGGAGGTGGGTCTGTCGCAAGTCCCATTTTACAGAGAAGGTTCGGTGGCTTTCCACAGTCTCTGGGCAAGTTAGTAGCACATTCAGACCAGGAGTTCTGGCCTTAGACATGCCCTTAACATAGAGCTCATTGCCTCTGTTAGCCTAAATTTCAGCCACCGTGTCCTGTCCTCGTCAGGACCTTCCAGAATGTACAGTGTTGTCTCAGGGGCCTCTTGGTTTGGACACATTTTTTCTTCCACATTTCACAGCCCCTCAGCCAGCAGCTCCCTGTGGACACGTTGTAGGTCCTTCATTTCCTTTCTCTGTGATCGTGTCCCAGTAGCCATCAGCGAAGGGGTTTGGTTTTACTCTCCTCCTAAGTTTCTGAGTTCTCTTGTTTCTTGGATGCAGGCAGAACACATGCATTCCTGGGTCAGAGACCAAGGGTCTGTAGCTCGGCTCAGTGCAGCTGGCCTTGAGGGGTCAGCCTGCTGGTTCCCTTGGATCCAGTGGGCCCAGAAGGGTGCCTGTAGCTGCATTCAAGAGAGAAACCCAGCATTTGGGGAATCAACATATTTAGTAGTAGGTGGTGAGCAAGCCTGCTTTTTACTTGGAGTTAGGGGTGGGGGGAGGACACTGCTTCATTTCTCATAGTTATAAACAGCCTGAACAGTGGCCCAAGTGAAGGGGCTAGCAGTCAGGGCCTTGTGGGGCCAGAACCAGTTTGAGAGGCCCAAGGAGGGCGGCCTTTCCTAATGGCTGGCAGAGGCTGGGATGTCTGTGCTCGGGGCTTCAGCACGCCTCCGGTTTTGTCTCTGTTTGGAGAGAACGGGTTGAATTCACGTTTCCCCAAGTATTCTGCTTTTAGAAATTACATTTAGGAAGAGATTAGCTTGCATGTACTGTTGGCCCTTGAACGATGGGGGCGTTGGGGGCGCTGACACCCCGTGCCGTTGAAAACGCACGTAACTTTCGGCTCACCAAAAACTTAACCGGGAGCGCACTGTTGACTGACATCAACAGTCACTTGCTCTTTGTGCTGTGTTCGCTACTCTGGTCTTACAACTGAGTTAGCTAGAGAAAAGGGAACGTTACTGAGAAAATCGTGAGGCGGAGGAGATGCATCTGTAGCGCTCTGCCGTGGAAAGCCCAGGCCAGACCTGCCCGTCGGGGGCAGCCGGGCTCCCCCACAGCCGGAGCTGCTCTGCTCCGGTCTCCCCGGGCGCTGGGCTCTTGGGTGCCCTTCACCTCGTTCTTCCGTGCGTTCTACAAACTCTTACTTCAGATGGCACGTTACTTTTTAAAAACTATCTACATTTAAAATTGTAATTTTCCTCCAGCTTTTTATTGTGAAAATTTCCAAACCTACAGAAAAGTTGGAAGGAGAACACTGAAGACGTGGACACTCTCACCTGGCGCACCGCGTTTCCGTGTCCTTCCCTCCCGGCGCGCGTTCTCTGCCCTGAGCTGTGTGAAAGGAGGTCGCTGCCCCGAGGCCCTTCTTGTGGGACTGCGGCTGTTGTGCTGCCCGGCTGCGGAGCCTTCAGCAGAGCCGAGAGCCGTAGCATCAGTGTCCTCGGCTGCTGCGCTCGGACTCCGCCTCCACCGCGGTGCTGTCCCGAGCGCTCTGTCACCTGCGGGTCCCGTGGGCTCACACTCCGAGCCAGGTGGGCTTGCCAGTCAGTCTCGCATCCGGAAGAGTCCTCCAGCCAGTTTCCGGGAGCGGATTTAGACTGTGACAATTGACGTTTCTAAAATGTCCCAGGCAGTGGACCCGTGGCTGTTGCACCGTCCACCTTTGAGTCCCGGGAGTCGGTTTGGGCGACCCGGGCCGGTGTAGGTGTCCTGCAGCATCCAGAGGCTCGCCCTGATGCTCCTCCCTGCCGCTCCAGCGGCTAGGACCCTCCTTCCGACGTATGGCTTCGCGACGGCGGGCCCGTGAACATCCCGCCCCACACCCTTGCTGAAGTGCTTTCGGCTTTCGTCCGCTGTCTTCCCAGCTGGGTTACTGCGCGCGTTTGCCCTGCGGTGGCTCTCACGCGGTGTGTTAGCTGCTACTTCATCTGTTAAAAACGCTTTTCCCTGTGCTGCCTTTTTTTTTTTTAAGATTTTATTTATTTATTTGACAGAGATCGCAAGCAGGCAGAGAGAGAGGGGGAAGCAGGCTCCC